CAATGAAGTCTAGTCTCTTGGCAAGTTTAATGCTTATAATAGTTTTGTTGTTTGTAATGACCGTACTGTGTATTAGATCTCCAGGACTTACTTATCTACTCTTCACAAGTATGTGCCCTGACCTAGGTGATTTTAGTGAACAGTAATAGTTGCCATGAATAGCCCTGGTCTAGAATTTGGTAAGTGGGGGCAGGTAAGGGGGAGCTCTAGTACATGTTTCTAAATCTAATGTGGAGAAAGTTCTCATTTCCTTTTGATACGTACATCGGTCCATCCATCCATCTGTTCATCCATCCGTTCAGTATATTTCCAGGGCCTCCTGTAACCAGGCATTGAGTTAGACACTAAACCAAATCGACACCGTTCCTGCTCTCCTGGCCCTCACCGTCCAGCTCAGGAGCCTGACGTTAATCAAGTTGCCACGCACGAGTGGGGATGATGTTGAACTGACACGGGCAACTATAGGAAAGGCTCGTGGCGGTGGTGCGCCGAGAATAGCTAGGGAGGCTTCCCCCAGAGGAAGGGAAGCTCCCGCTGAGTTTGAGGAAGAACTCGTTAGGCCAAGGGGGAGGGAAAAAACCTCCACCTAGAGAGACCAGCTTGTGCCAGGGCCCTGTGGTTAGGAGGGACATGGTGCTTTCTAAGAACTGAAGCGGTGACTTTGGGAGTGAGTAGGAGGAGAATAGTGCAAAGCGGAGCAGGAGAGGAGGGCAGGGCTGGATAACGTGCTGAAGAGGTCACTCTGGCTACAGCGTGGGGGCGGGATGGGGGTGGGGCAGCGAGGAGACCAGAAGAGCCAGTGAGGAGGCCGCTGCAGTGTCCAGACAGGAGGTGATATGATGGTGGCTGGAATGGAACGAAGTTGAAGGGAGGCAGCTGAGAGGATGGAAAGAAACGGAAGGACATGAGGAATGTGCGGGAGGCCAGACGGACAAGATGATGTGGGGCCTGGCTACGGGGGTGGGAGAGGAAGGTGTGAAGGGTGCTTCTAGCTTCCAGGCTTTCATACCTGGATTGACCGTGGTGCTGATCAGAGAGGCAGGGAACACAGGAATGGACCTGGCCTGGCAGGAGGATTCTGAGTCTTAGGTACGTTGAGTCCGAGGTACCGTGAGACATTCAAGGGGAGTTGCCCGGTGGGCATCTGGACATGTGGGACAAGAGCTCAGAGAGAGGGGAGACCTGGAGATGGAGACCTGGAGGTCCTCGGGAATGGCTGGCAGTGGGACTGGAAGCCATGGGTGTGATGAGATGGCCTAGGAGGTGTGCGCGGGGTGAGAACAGAGAGGACCCAAGACCGAGCCCCAGGGACGATGAATGTCAGGGGAGGAGAAGAACCTGAAGAGGCCCTGGAGCGGGGGCAGCCTGGGAGGTGAAAGGAAAACCCAGTGTGACCCTGTAATGGAAGAGTGTGTGTTGTTTCACGAACTGGGGTGTGGGCGTCGGTGTCCGCGATGCTGAGTGGGCAAGTCATATGGAGAAAGTGAGGGAAGACAGCACTTTCAAGAATTTAGTCATGTAGGGTTGGGGCGCATAGGTGTACCGCCTACATCAGGGTCAGCTGCTTCAGACCTTTTCTTTAACCATAGAAACTTCTCCTTAACTACTGACCTGCAAATATTCCAAGGACATGAACTGGGAGTGTGGGGTTATGGGTGTCCAATTTACAATTGCATCAGCCCTGGGCAGTGTAGCTCAGTTGGTTGAAGCATCATCCAGGACACTGAAGGGTCACAGGTTTGATTTCTGGTCAGGGCACGTACCTGGGTTGTGAGTTCAATCCCTGGTCTGGGAGCCTACAAAAGGCAATCAGTTGATGTTTCTCTCTCTCTTGCCCTCTTCCCTACTTTCTAAAAGCAATGAAAAAACCCTGGCTGGTGTTGCTCAGTGGATTGAGCATGGGCCTGCGAACCAAAAGGTTGCTGGTTCGATTCCCAGTTAGGGCATATGCCTGGGTTGCGGGCCAGGTCCCTAGGAAGGGGCGTGTGAGAGGCAACCACACATTGATGTTTCTCTCCTTCTCTTTCTCCTTCCCTTCCCCTCTCTCTAAAAATAAATAAAATCTTTAAAAAATAAAAATAAAATAAATCAGTTTGTATAGCCATTAAAAAAAATATATAAAAACAATGAAAAAATGTCCTCTGATAAGGATTAAAATAAATTAAATAAAATAAAAATTGTATCAAAGAATACCTGTGCTTGAATCAGCAGAACATTACCTCAGGCCAGTGGTCCATGTTACCAGTCCTCAAGTAGCATTTGATTTCATCATAGGAACTTATATTACTCTTAAAAAAAAAAAGACTTTATGTATTTGTTTTTTGAGAGTGGGGAAGGGAGGGAGAGAGGGAGTGAAACATCAATGTGAGAGAGAAATATCAATCAGTTGCCTCTTGAACTTGCCCCAGCAGGGGACTCAGCCCACAACCCAGGCATGTGCCCTGATGATGAATCCAACCAGCGACCTTTTTGGTTTGCAGAATGACACCCAGACAGTTGAGCCACACTGGTGAGGGCAGGAGCTTATGTTACTTTTAATAGCTTTTTCCTTTGTTATCCTACGTCTCCAGGAGAGGTAGGATTACATTATTTATTCTCCTCCTTCATGGAAAGGAGAGGGTGAAAGAAAGGAGAGGGAGTGGTCAATTTCAGTAAAAAATTTTTTTAAGAAAGGAATCTTTTAGAAGATACTTAATTTCCTCTTTTCCCCTAGCCTCCATCTTCACAAACTTCTCAAAAGAGTTGTCCATGCTTCCTTAAATTCCACCTCCAGGCTACCTTCCCGTTTGTAGACGGTTGTCTCATCAAAGTCACCAATGGCCAACAAACCTCTAGACCTAAGTCAAGTTCCCCTGTGAACTTCCGGCTGCCTTTGACACTTGATCACTTTCCCGGCGAAATGCTCCCTCTAGTCTGTCCCATTGTTCCGCTCTCCTGGTTTCCTCTGTGAATAAAAAATTACCCAGACTTTGGGAACTGAAAAAAGGAACAAGAAAAAGAACTACACTGACATCCTCTCAGTGTAGTGTCAGGCTCTATCCAACGTGCCTGTTCCACTGGGGAATCATCCGATTCCCTAGGGACGTGTCCCTTTGACTGCCTTCTAATTTACCATCGATCAGGGTATTTTACAACTCTGTAAGAACAGAAGTTCATTTATAGAAAATTTATAATGAGCAAATAATTCTTGTCCAATAGTAATGAAAATGTTTTCTCTTTGGTAGAAAAGGAAACCCCAAATGTCACAGTTTCTTGCCTGATAGGGCATTAACCTGTGTTGTTAAGTTCATTTCTGTACTCCCTTGACTGGCCAGCTCTGTATTCGTTCTTAGATTCCCTCTAGAACTAGTCTTAATATCTTATCGCTGTCCTCATTCACTGCTGAATAAATAAAAGCTTTGACATGGGTTCATTTTCTTTGAGTTATTTTTCTAAACGTATTTGAACATTGTTCTTGACTGCTCCCAATCCTGTGGTCCCCACCTTGTCAGGCTGTGCTGAGGACAGGGAGGGGGATGGGGGTGGGTTGGGTGACTAAAAAGGGACAGGCATGAAGGGCTTTCCTGACAGGGTCTGGGAACCCTGGTGTCTGCCTGGTGGCCTGGCTTGCCGTGATTCCTCCTCTCTCCACCCCTCAATGCTGCAGGCCTCTCAGGGTTCTGTGGGGTCTGTGACTGTCACCCAAAGCTGGCCACCCCACACACACACTTTCTCTAACATGCTCTTAAAAATTCATGGCAGTGCCTTCCAACCCGATTTTGTAACTGCTTGTCCCTTTCATCAACACTAGCCCTCTAACGAGCTCCAGCTTGTGTTTGTTTTGTATTTATCCCACATTTAAGAACCACTGATGTATTGTATCCCTTTTGTTGGCTACATATAATTATCTCATTTAACCCTCACAACGTCCTTTGGGGCGTGTAACATTGCCCCATATAACTGCTGAAGGAACTGAGGTTCTGGTGGTTAAGTAGCTTGCCCAAGGTCACACATGGTGTGAGGGGCAGAACCAGCCAGCTTGAAACCCAGGAGTGTCTGATGCTGACCATGTTCTCCCTTGGTTTATAATTATTTGTTCCTCTATGGTCAGAATTGGTAGGGCTTCTGAGACCCTAGGGTCTCACATATGCTATCCTGAGATGGGAAGACCGGACCAGAAAGGGGCCAGAATTAGCCCAAGGTAATGCAGCAAGGAAGGTGCACAATGAGGGCTTAAAGGAAAAAACTGACCAGTGGAGCCCTCTGGAAGCTTAAAGGACATTCCCTCTCTTCCACCCAGGCTCTTGTTAGAAATGTCTGCAAGAAACCACGTTTAGAACTTTACAGAGGATCAAGCCCTGGGGAATCAGGAACGCGCTGGCCTTTGGGCAGATCACTACCCTCTTGGAGCTTCCATTTTTGTGTATGTAAAATGGGTCAATTATTTGGAGACTTGAAAGAGACATAGGCTGGCAAGGCAAGTACATTGTAAACCTACAGACAGCGCAGAGGTGACAGACCAAAGCTCATTCTGGGCTCTAGAGCCAGATTGCCTAGGCTCAGAGTCAGGTTTTATCCCTTAAGTAGCCTGTCCCCTTGGGAAGTTTGTATGCCTCAGTTTCCTTGAATGTAAAATGGGGACAACGGTACCTACTTCATAGGGTTATCGTAGGAGTCAAGCGCTTGTAATAGTCACTGACACGTATTTACCCATCAGCGAAGTTAGCTTTTATTACAGGTTTACTGCTAGAGGCGTATCTGTTTCTAAGCCCTGGGTACAACTATTTTCTCCAGGCCCCACCCCCTCCAACGGGCCCCTCCCCGTTCCCTTTCGTTCCCTCCTCCTCCTCACCAGGTCCAGCTCCAGCCAGCCCGGGTTTCTCCTGCCACCAGGGGGCGGCAGCGCTGAAGGGAGCATTCTAGCCGAAGCAGGTGACGCTCTAGGTAGCGGAGGCGGCTGCTCTCTGGCCAGTGGCGGCGCCGCTCTAGCGAGCGGCTGTGCGGGGCGGGCTCTCAGTGGTGCGGCCGGCGGGCGGCGATGGCGGCCGTACGGGGCCTGCGAGTATCGGTGAAGGCTGAGGCCTCGGCGGGGCCGGCCTTGGGACTCCCGTCGCCTGAGGCAGGGCCCGGTTTGGAGCGTGGGGAGCCGGAGCCCATGGAGGTGGAGGAGGGCGAGCTGGAGATTGTGCCGGTGCGGCGCTCACTGAAGGAACTGATCCCGGTACGGGAGGGAGGCGGGGGGCGAGGAGGAGGTCGCCGAGCAAGCGGGTGCCCCGCGACGGAACGGGCCGAGAAGGGAGGCGGCCGGTTACCCGGCCGGGGGAAGTCAGGGGAAGGGGAGAGAGGGAGTGAGCAGCCGGGGGGCGGGGGCGCCGGGCTGGAGAGACCTGGAGGGAGAGAAAGGACGCAGGGGAGCCCGGAAATGGGTGTGAGGGGGCTGAAGGAGGTCGGGAAGAGCTGAAGGGTAGTTAAGGTCGCCCCCTTCGCTGCCCCTCTGAGCTAGTCTGTGCAAGAGGGTGAGGGAGGAGGGCCCGGGATCGTCTGGAGGCTTGAGATAAAGGATGAGCCCGGGCGGGGACAGAAGCAGGAGCGGCCCAGAAGGAACTGTCGAGTGGCGCCCGCATCCAGGTTTCCCTGTGGGTCCTGCTCTGCTGTCTGTTAAACGTAGCACTCGCGGTTTCTCTTGGGAGGGCTGGACTTGACAGCCGTAGGAACTCAGTGTTTCTGTTGACTTGAGGGTCATCTTGTCCCCGTGCGACTCCACTGCTGTGTAGCACCCACACCGTGGCCCCTGCATCTGACCTTTCATGACCAAAACATCAGCAAACCATCAGCGAAGTAGCTGGCAGTGGTTCTTGGTCCGTATTTTATCACAGTGGGGATGGCGAGAGGTGTTTTTGCGTGTGGTTTGGTGGTCCTGTGTCCCGTTCTTAGGCTGGTCTCAGGCCTGCGTGGCTCTTCTCATGTACTTAATTTCTCACCTGACACGAAGGAACTACTTTTTGTCATGTCATCAAGTCTTGCTTTTAGATTGAAATGATGGGAAAAGGTGAAGGTAGGATCACTAAAGACAGCAAATGATAACAACAATTAACATAGTGTCATTTTACCATTTACTACGATATATTATTTAAATATCCCTGCAGTTGTGAAGTATAGATCATCCCTTTATTCATTCACTTTAACATCTCTTGCGACTCCCACTATGTGCCAGGCACAGTCCTAGGCACGTGATCAAGATTAAACTCTCTCCCGAAGTTTATGTGCCATTTGGGGGACATAAGGAAACACGTAATTTCTGATAGTGGTTAAGTACTGTGATGAAAATAAAGCATGTTAATGGGACAGAGAGAGCTGAGGGCAGGGAAGGTGTACAGAGCCCGAGGCAGAATGGGATAATCGTAGGGTCAGGGAAGTCCTCTGAGATAGGGCATTTCAACCAAACCCTAAGTGACAAAAAGGAGCCAACCATATACAATATTCCCAGCAGGGGGCAACAGTAAGCCTAACAAAATTGTTTTCTTGGGGAAACAAAGTCCTGTGGCACAAACATGAGAGCAGTAAAAGAGGCCAGGAAGGTCGGCAGATGCTGTGGAGGAAACCGAGGCCCAGCGAGGCCAAAGGAACCGTAAAGTGTTGCGTAATCTGTGAATGTCCGAGCTGCCTTTGGAGTCCTGGGTTTCCCGGTCCCAACCTCTTTTCACTGCACTGGGCTGTTTTTGATAGGTCTAGAGTCGGGTGGCCTGGCTTGATGCATTTGGCTACTTTGGGTTGGAGAGATAAGTGACTGTGTCTCATCTTGGATGTTTTTCATAAAAGCCATCAGATTTTCATTTACATGGTACCTTCAGTAGGGGGAATTACAAAGTTTTCTGGTTTAGAAAAGACTTCTTATTAGAGTGGTTAATTGCTACCCCAGCGTCCCTGGGATGGGCTTTCTCATAATAAGGGGTCGTCAGGGTGGGGGATGAGTTGTTTGTCAATCGTCAGCATTTCTTACCCTTCCCTTACGTTAGGACACAAGCAGAAGATACGAAAACAAGGCTGGGAGCTTCATCACTGGAATCGATGTCACCTCCAAGGTAAGACAGACCATGATTTATTTACTCATTTTGATAACTGGTTGAACTTGGTCTCTAGGACTTGCAGAACTGCAATTATTCTTTACCTTCTATTTTCTCTTTTTGCTGGATTAAAATTTATTTAACTTAAATTTCATCTTATACAGTGATCCCTTTGTGCGTCCTGAAAACATCCGCGCAGTATTTGTACGTTCTCACATTCGCAAGATAAAATCACTACACCTAGGAGCCTGTGTTAAACCATATCCAAGTAAAAGTTCTGGACTGGGAATGCTTTTTTTTAATGCCATGTCCATTCTTTAAAAATGATGTGCTTTTTCTACTTTAAATGAAACAAAACATGAAAAGTGCCTGGCACATAGTAGGCCCTTAGTGAAGATCTGTATTCCTCACTGGTTGCAGGCTTAGAAAAATAGGATTTCCTCATAATGTGGCTGCCTAAACTTTGAAGGCCAGGTCAGCAGAATTATTCTCAATACCTGGGAGTATCACCTTTTATCTAGTGATTGCTGTTACTAGATACCAACTTCACTGTAACTCCTCCTCACAGAGCCAGGCCTGTTATTTCCGTATTATAGCCAATGCGTATTTGTTGCTTTAATTGGTGATACCCAGTTTAGGCATTCTTTCTGACTTTAACATATAGAATTAAATGTGGAACAGAATTTTAAATTAACTCTGAATAATAGTACAGTATTGCTCTATTGGATGTATAAAAGGAAACATAAAAATAAATACGTCATGCTTACCTTTTTACATTTAATCTGGGTCTTGGTCTGTCGTAGGTGGCTTCAAGGCCAAAAGAAAGAAATGATCTCTTAGACATTAAGAAAATAAAATGAAGGTGTTTTCTTATTGTGATTAAAAAGAAGTAGACTGTACTGGTCTTAACCCTACACAGTTTGCCATTATATGAAACAAACATGGGGGACAGAGTGGTAACCTCAGAACTGGTACTTAAGTTGTTAGTAAGGGAGGGTAGATTGGTTGTTTGCACTGGGATGACTTCAGTGAAATTAGCATAACTATTGGGAAATAACAGAAGAGTTGCTGCTTTACCAACCCCCACTAGCTTTCTCTAGTCCTCAGGCCTTCTATTAGTGTGGCAAAGTCAATATATAATTACTGAAAGATTCCTAAGAGCTATCAGAAACCCACAGTTGGATCTGCATTTATTTTAGTTCTTGGTTAAAAACTTGTGAAGCTGATTATTTTGTTTTTCAGGGAAGCGTCAGTGCTTCTTGTCACTTAAAGATGAAAACAGGCAATTCCGTGGACACAAGCCTAGAATAGAGGAGAGTGTTTCTTTGCCTCAGTGTTATTTTTAAACCAGGAAGAAGCCTTAGGGAGCGGAGCGCTCATGCAGACATAATGTGGACGAGTGTGATAGGTGTGATTACCACGCACACAGACAGTGTGGAACGGGCATGGTGGTGGGGCTCCTAGAAATAGCACTGAGATCGGAAGTCCTGCCCCCCGCTTATTAGTTGAAGTACCTCCAGCAAACCTTTTAATTTTTTTGTGCTTTGGTTTCTGCACTTGGAAAATTTAGGTTTGAGGTTGTGCACTTGTAATTTGTTTGAAGCATGATTGCTGATAACAAATGAAATGCCAGAGAATTAAGCATCATTTATTACTCATTGAATCAACTAATATTCATTGAATTCCTACTCTGGCCCAGACACAGTGCTAGGCATTGAATCATCACAGAGATGATTACAAATTATAGCAGCATCAGTGTACACCCTCCCAGTCACTGACTTTGAATCCAGTTCTCTATAAAAATTAATAAAGGTACATTGTCGCTTATATCTTCTGACTTATTTCAGGGTTGTCACTGATGCTTTATGTTGTGTTTGTGATTATATGTGTGATTTAACTTTCCTTGCTCATTGAAAAATGGCTTTTTCTGTACCTTCCAGGAAGCAATTGAAAAGAAAGAACAGCGAGCCAAGCGCTTCCATTTCCGATCAGAAGTAAATCTTGCCCAAAGAAATGTAGCCTTGGACCGAGACATGATGAAGAAAGGTACAGGGTGTTTGAGGGGAGTTTTTTCATGTTTCCCCAGACAGTAACTTTGTCCTGCCATGGCCTTGCGCTTCTGGCCTTGCCTTGCATGTCCAGCCTTCATCCAAACACTCCCAAAGGAGAGGGATTTGTGAAGTCTCCATTTGTGAGGTGGCCTGTTTAAAGTTGAGGTAGCTGTGTCTCAGATGTTAGAGCTCGGAAAAAAGGGATTGCTTGTCAGAGGAGGCCCAGAGAAAGTCACCTGGTTAGTGGCAGAGCTGAGATTAGAACCTGCACTTCTACGGACTCTTACCCATTTTCTGCTCTTATCACAGAAGGGTTAACCTTTCTTTGCCTTTAAATGTATTGGAAGTGTATCACAGTGAGACCTTCTTTCAGGGGAGTCAGAGCAATATTGGGATTGGTGGGAGAGAGCCCTCAATACTTCTGTTGATACAGGCTTACGATTTTTAAAAATTTTTGTATTTTGTTAGGGTGAGTGTTTTGCTTCCTAGAACTCACCCTGAATAATATAGAGTGATCTGCCCCAGTCTTCTGAAGGAATTTATAGATAAAAGGGAAAATTACTATTACTTTTTAATGAGTTCAGAGCCATGTTTATTATTCTACACTAATTTAAATCCATAAATATAGAAGTTTTCCTCCCTCTCCTATATTTGCAAACTTTGGTATTTGTGAAGGGCTTAATAGACAGACCTCTGAATGCATGTGAAAGGTTTGTGCTCTGCTATGTGAGTTTCTCTAGGCCTGCTTGATTGATAAAAACATGTTGAATGAATGAAAGAATAGCTACTCTTTGTTGGGAACTTACTCTCTTACTAGGCATTGTGTTAATAGGCATACTGCATATTCGTTTCTTACTCATTTCTCACAAAAACCCTATGAGGAATATGTTTTTTATTTCTGTTTTACAAAGAAGTAGAAATAGGCTCAAAGAAGTTAATAAATGCCCAAGGTTATGCAGCTACTAAAAGTGGAGTCAGGGGTTCAACCTAGGTTTATCTGACTCTAAAGCCTGGCTCTTAACTACCGTGCTCTATTGCCTAATAGTGTGTGATATGACAGCACTGGCCCAAACCTCCACAGGCTATCCCAGTGGATAGAGTAGCTTGGATACAGGGGTCAGCTCTGGATGCTGCTTTACTCTTTTTCCTGCATCATGAGTTCAAGGTGGAAATATGACCTTGCTTCCCTTGCAGGTTGGGTTTCCAGGCATCTGCCTGAGTGGACTTTTGTTTCAGGAAAAATCCTGTGAAGGCCAAGGACAGTTATGCAGCTTGGTATTCATGTGCCTGCTCAGCCAGGGCCCAAGCAGAGCTCTGAGCCTCTCTCATCACTCCACCTTGAAAAGCACCAGTTTCATCGCACCTGTCTACTTCTAGTCCTGTGAACATTGGTTGGGGCAGCATGTGCCTTTCATTCTGCTGATTTTGTCTTTCCTTGTCCCATGCTTTGTCTTGTTCAGATGTCATTTCCTCCTTGAAGCGTCCCTAATCACCCACTCAAATTTCCTGCCTCTGTTGTAGCTCTTTAGGATGCTAAAGGCCTCCTGGATTCTAGCCTCAGTGCCTTTGTGAATGTGGACAAACTAAGTTATTGAACCTTTTCAGGCCTCAGTCTTCTTGTCTATAAAATGGGAATATGATACCTACCTGAACAGGATCACTTTGGGGGTTAAATTTTAATCTATTTTATTTTATTTTATTTTTAAAGATTTTATTTATTTTTAGAGAGAGGGGAAAGGAGGGAGAAAGAGGGAAAGAAACGTCCATGTGAGAAACGTTGGTTGCTTCTCATACGTGCTGTGACTGGGGGCCAAACTGGCTACTTTTCACTTTGTGGGATGACGTCGAACCAGCTGAGCCATGACGGTCAGGGCTAAATTTTAATTAAATACTTTTTTTTGGAAAAGCAATCCTCATCTCATAGTTCTAAGGATATTCCTAAAAAGCCATAGATCTGCCTCGATGTCCGCAGGACAACTTGCTTGTTACAGCCTGTGTTTCATCCAGGATGATGTAGGATAGTGTTCCTGAACTCTGGAGAACCCTGCTGCCTACCCCGTATCAGTTACGTTAGGATGCGAGGTGGGCAAGGGTTTGGATAGGTCCCAGAGAGAGTTATTTTATACCTCCCTAGGTAGTTCTGATACACAGTCAAGACTCGGAGGGAACCGCTGGTGCTGGGGTGAAGAGCATGGGCTCTGAAGCCTGCCTGCCTGTGTTCAGACCCTGACCTGCCACTTTCTAGCTCTGTGACTTGAGATAATTTAGCCCCTAAGAAACTCAGTTCCCTCTTTCGGAGAGACCGATAACAGCTGTTCTCACAGGGTTGTTGGAAGGCTCTAACAAAATGTTAGCAGTTCTAGAGTGGTGTCTGGTATATAGTAAGTCCCCAGTAAATGTTAGTTGTTGTTTTCTTTATATGGCATTTTCCATCTTCCAAGCAGTCATCCAGGTGGCCTAGTTTATTGGCAGAATGGGGACATTGGAATAAACATCTTGACTCCTGCAGCCATGCTAGCTGTCAGGTTATTTCATCTTCTTAATACCAACAGCAATAACAAAAGATACCATTGGTGAATGTGTACTGTGTTCCACTCTGCTAAGTAGTTAACTTGTCTTTTCAACAGCCCTCTGAAGGAAAGGTAATTATCATTTCTGTTTCACTCGTGGGGAAACTAAGGGGCTGAAAGGTTGAGAACCTTGCCCGCGGCGCCCCAGCTAGGTACGCGGCAAGGCTGTGATGGTAGGGCTGGCCTGGCTGAAGCCAGTGTCCCGACTCCCGGCCAGCATCCAGGGACAGAGCGTGAGATGTGCTGCACTCCACCGTCTGCATCAAGGGTGACTTGCGACTTACTCTGCAGTGACTCACAGTGTCAAGCAGCTTTGGCTTCCTTATCCCCGAGAGCAAAGCTCTCATGGTCGGGAGGGATCTTGGAGGTGATCAAAATTCACTTCCTGCCCAGCATTGCAAGCCTTTAGGCAAAGTTCCAAGTGGTCTTTTGGCTTCTGCCTGAACATTTCCTAATGATGGCAGAACTGTTTATGAAGCAGTTGATTTTGGTTTTGGATACATGTTAATACATGTTCCTCATGTTGAGCAGAAATAGCTTTCTAGTAATTTCTGTCTAATCGTTACTGTGTGACCCTTAGAACAACATTAAGCCCTTCCCTCATTCATGTAATAACCCTTTAGGTGAATGGGCAGTAAGCCCATTTCCTAAACTTTCTTCATGTGACTTAACTTTCTGATCTTGTGCTTCTAAACTCTTTTCATAAATTTTCTTCGTAAAGTAAGAAAGATTCCAGATGTGGTTGGATTCACGGAGAGCTTGGCAGGGCTATCCCATACTTTTTGTCCCAGCCATTTCGTAGTGTTTACCCACCTTCTAGTCAACCAAAGCACCCAGGTCTTCCCCTAAGAATTCTACCCATCAAAGCAGTCCTCTCCTGTACTTGAGGCACTGTTTAAAAATTACTTTCTTCCTTATCCCTATCAGATTATATCTTGTTAATTTCAACACTCCATTTCAGTGTGTTGAGTTCATTTTCATCTTAACTCTGCCTTTTAATATTTTAGCTCTGTTCCTTGCTTTGGTATGCCAGGCTTCTGCATCGTCACCCAGTTACTGGTAAATATTGAACAGGGTAGTCCCGTTTCATGCTATGAAACATGGGTCCATAATTTCATTGTATTGTCACAAGGAACTAGATTATGTGCCTTAATGATCTCGAGACAGAACACCATCTGTGGTATATTATTTGAATTTCTTGGCCTCGTAATGCTGTCAAAAAAAGAGAAGATGTTAGTTTGACTGGCTTCTCAGTGAACTCACACCATTTCCTCTTGGAGAGACTTGGTTTCTTAAGGCATCGTAGACTGTTTGATAAGCTACTTTTCAAAAATTTCAGAGAATGACATTAATCTTTTCAATCTGTTGTTTGGGAATTCCTTTTTCCCTCTTTTGTGAAATTCAGTACAGGATCAGTCCTTCTCAAGGCTTTAAGGTACCTCACTCCTTTCCTGGGACTTTTTAGAGATTACTGCCTAATTCAGAAACCGCAGCTGTGTGATTCGGTCCGGACATTGGGATATAATTCTGGACTAGTCAATTTAAATTTATTAAAACTAATTCTTTTGCTTTTGTGACCAGTCTTGGCTTTTAGTTCTTACTTAATGATAGATATTCTACTGCCAATTATAGGTAGATCACCAGTTCTGTCTTTTTTCCTGCATCACGTTCTCAAAGCAGTGTTCCAATACTTTTTTAAAAAGCCATCAGCATTTTTTTTATTACTGATTTCAGAGAGAGAGAGAGAGAGAGAGAGAGAAGCATTGATGAGGGAGAAACATTGATTGTACATGCTCCAACCAGGGATCAAACCCGCAACCTAGGTAGGTGCCCTGATCAGGAATCGAACCTGCAACCCTTTAGTGCGTGGGACGATGCTTCAGCCAACTGAGCCACTGGCCAGGGCAAGCCATCAGCATTTTTGATGAGCCTGCGTACTCTAGACTGTACCCTTTTCTTCATTATATGTTATACAAACAACTCACGTTCACCAAAAATAATTTGTAAAGGAGAGTAAGAAGAGTTGCCCACAGTTTACCACTAGACCCAGTCATTTCAGCATTTTGTGTATTTCCTTCCAATCTTTTCTGGGTGTGGACTTTATTTTTATTTTTGTATTTCCCTTTCCTTTTCACTTGACAGTCTGTCACCTGCATTTTCCATGTCATTATATAGCCTGGGGTTAGTCTTTTAGAATCTTGTCTTTCTTACCTTCATTCTTTTACCTTTGCCATTAGTAATTTACCCTTTATGTGTCTCCCATATATGTTCTTTGGCAAATTGTTCTCACCCGGGCTTTGCTGTCTTCTCTTTCCTTGGGATCACTTCTTATATCCTGAGTTACTATATTTAGTGTCTTCCTTTTTTCTTTCTTTTTTTTAATCATTTTAATTTGAGGCCATGGGATTGGCTTCTTTTCCTCTGGATTTTTAGAAATCTGCTTTCCTACAACCTGTCATTCATTGTCTTCTTTCCTGTTAGAAAAACTCAAGATGATTCCCTCGCTGCCTTACTTATAGTCAGCACCCAGCAAATGTCCAGTCCTCGTCCTCTAATCCGTCTGCACTACCTTCTCAGCAATTAGTCCTTTCTCATTGATTGGGCACATATCTAGGCTCCTGTTGTGTTTTATTTTAAGCAGTGACATTGTCAGCAAAATGAGGAAGTATTCTCCTTTGGCAAGTTTCCATCAAATTTTGAGCTTAACAAAGTTTCCATGGCTTGTGGGTTTTGCCACTGTCAGTTTGGTTCTCTTTTGAGAATGAACCTTTCTTATCCTCTAGCTGATTGAAAAGGAATTTTTTCATACACACTCAGGTCTTTTAGTTTATCTCTGTAGTGATACGGCCTTTGTATCTCTTTTTTTTATATCTCTACCTACTTCTTTTGAACAAGATTTTCCATGGCCCATTTCTAGATGTGTATATCATTCTCTGTACATTAAAATAAATACTTCTGAGGCCAGAAGTCTTATTCCTTACCTTCGTTTGTTTTGTTTTCGAGTTATTTCCTCAACTGTAGGGTTTTTTCCCCTTTTCTTTTTTCTTTTTTAAATAAAAATATTGTAATGTTAGCCCTGGCCAGTATGGCTGAGTTGGTTAGGGCGTCATCCTGTAAACCAAAAGGTCACGGGTTCGATTCCTGGTCAGGGCACATGTGTAGATTGTGGGTTTGGTCCCCAGTGAGGGCACATATGAGAGGTAACAGGTCAGTGTTTCTCTCCCTCTCTTCCTCCCTCCCTTTCCTTCTCTCTGAAATCAAGCATGTCCTGGGGTGAGGATGAGAAAAAATATTTTAATGTTAGAATAATACTGTGATGCTCTTGATATTTATTTTTGTCATTTCTTTTGGGTTTTATTTTCTTTGCCTGTCTCATTTATGATTAAACCCTTCTTGTCTCGCCAAGAAGTCTCCTACAAGAAATTTTTTCTTGATCCTCAGTCTCTTCCGTCTGCCGTCTCTAGGAGCTCTCCCCTTTGTTTGTTCCATCTCTTTACTTGGGGTCTTTTTCATTGATACTCACAGCTTTTAGCTCCAAGAGCTGAGCAGGCCCATAGGTCTGACTCCTTCAGTCTCCCACTCTGGGTGTCTATTGTGAACACCCACCTCACGTGGGCCTGTATTCACTGCTGCACTGCTGGGCACTGGAAGGACTTGCTGAGATTGGCAGGCCTTGGCCTCTCCATCTTCAGGAATCTGGGCGGCAGGAAGGTGTCACCTGGTTTAGTTTGGACACACCTACATGGGCTCACCTTAAACCTTTTACTCTTCAAAATGCCAAAACTACTGCATTTTGCTGTGTATAATGTGCATTTTTTTTGCCCAAATTTTTGAGGGAAAATAAGGACGAGCATTCTCCATGGGTAGTACTAATTCCATATCTATATAAATGCTTTTAATTCTTTTATTTATGCTTATGCATTAAAAGTGTAACTCTAGAAAGCAATAATAATATCTGTATGCAAAATAATATCCTGGAATACAATTATTAGTTTTGTTTCTAAATATAAATAAAAAATTGAATTAAAAATTTAAGCAGAAGATTTTTGTCCGGAAAGTTTGGGCCAAAAACATGGGTGCACATTATACACAACAAAATACGGTATTTAAAATCCTTTAATATGAAAGTATTTACATGTATTTTCAGTTTATTTGTTTTAAATAAAAGTATTGTGTGACATCAAAACATAATGTAACAGATACTAACTTTTTCACAGTTACTTCAGAGAAGGGAAGGAGAGAAGGGATGTGGAGAGGTTGCACTGGCCCCAGTTTTACGTGTAATGTTTATTTGCCTCAAATCTTTTAAAGAAATTAAGCATAAAGCTAAGTGGTGAATATACAAGTATGTTAAATTTATTTTTTCTTATTATTGATATATTTACATGTTTCATAATTAAAAAGATTACATAAGATAATGTACCTAAAGTACTGAAAGGAAAACACAATCAGGGTACGGCTAAGGTTCTGTTTTTGAGGATAGCCTTTAATCAATCCTTTCTTTCTCCTCAGAGGTAACAACTATTATCAAGGTAGATTGAATCCTAATAGGCCTTTTTCTAGGTATTTGTTTACACAGATACGTATTCTGAGAAAATATATGTTGGTATTTATGTTTTAATTTTTTAAATGTTATCACATTGTATTTAGTTTTCTGCAGCTTTCTTTTTCACTCTTAGAATTTTTTCATGGTACTTAACTAAATAATATTCTATTATATGGCTAAACCACAATTCATTTAATATGGATAAACTGTAATATCTCTCTCTGATAGTAGGTTATTAGAAGTAGTGCTGCGGTGAACATCTTGTGTGAGCTACTGTGTGAACCCACGTGTGTTTAAAGATTTTATTTATTTACTTTTTGTAGAGAGAGGGGAAAGGAGAAAGAGAGGGAAACATGATCGATTGCCTCTCATATACCCGCAAATGGGGCCCTGGCCTGCAACCCCGGAATGTGCCCTAACTGGGAATAGAACTGGTGATCTTTTGGTTTGCAGGCTGGTGCTCAGTCCACTGAGCCACCCCAGCCGGGGCTCCCACGTGTGTTTAGAGTAGGTACTGAGGAGTACCTTTGCCTATAGGGCATGTGCTAAATTGGGCGTGTTTATTATAAATAAACACATTTGTAATAAACACACCCAATTTGTCCGTCAGAGTGGCTGTGCCACTTCACACTCCCGCCAGCAGAGGGAGTGGTTCTTTCCCCCACATGACCAACAATTGATAATGAAAGACATAAACTTTAAAAAATTCTAGTTAATGAAAACTGGGTATCTTGTTTTAATATGCATTTTTCTGATTGTGAGACTAACCATCTTTTCATATGTTTATTGTATTTCCTGTTGTGTGAACTGCCTGCTTATGTTCTTTGCCCATTTTTATTTTAAGCTATCAGTTTCTTATTATCTCTAGGATTTCTTTAGTTTCCTTTTTTGCTTTATATCTAGGGGCTTTATATCTTTTTATTTGCTTTATATCTTTTTCAAAAATTGTCTTAACTATTACATATTTTTCTTTGATACACATTTAAACATTTTAGAATCAGCTTGTCAAGTTTAATGAACCATACTGTTGAATTTAGTATTGCTTTAATTACTGCAGGCTAATTTGGGGACAGGTATTGTGTATTTTATCAACACTATTTTTAAATCTTTCTCAGCCAAAGTGTCTGCTCTGAATTAAATCATTTGTTTAATGCTGTTTGGTCTGTGATAAAAATTAAAATAGTGTGTACATTGCTGTCGTATCTCATTTAAAAAAAAATGTCACCTCCTTCAGCATATTTCTTTTCTAAAGGCATGCGATCTGAACGGTGTGCTGGGGGGATGTGCGGTGGTGGGTGGGAAAATTCTATCATCTTTTCTGTGTCCTGCTTTTCTAGCAATCCCCAAAGTGAGACTGGAGACAATCTACATTTGCGGGGTCGATGAGATGAGTACCCAGGATATCTTTTCCTATTTTAAAGAATATCCTCCAGCTCACATTGAATGGTTGGATGATACCTCCTGTAAGTACACCCACGTTTTCTGTTGAATATAAACTTTTGTTTATTATTTTAAAAGTGTTCTTATATCAAAGTTTTGTTGAATAAACTTTTGTTTATTATTTTAAAAGTGTTCTTGCTGTCTCAGATGGTGAATGATTATGGCCCAGACTACTTGTTTACATCTAACCTCTGCCCTTAGCTTAGGAGAAGACAGACATGCCCATTGATGAGAACCAGATGCATTACCCAGTTTACCAAATTATACCCTATAGGTGTTCCAAGTCAGCTCAGGGGTGGTGACCAGGGCTTCGAAAGCTGGTTGCTGGCATCTGATTCCAGTGTATACAACTGAGGCTTCTTTTAACCCCCGCAATTTCCCACCAAAGGGGTGGATCCCACTGTATAGAGTTGGGCTGAGAGCTGCGTTTTCAGGGCTTTGGACTCTGTCATCACACTTTGCCATACGGTTATATAGAGGGTTGGCTCTGCTTCAGAGTCTTTAACCTGGAACTACATCAGAACCCTCTGACACTGGTCCAGACCTTGCATCCGTGCTTGTGTTGGACATTGTTTTCTGGAACTTCACCTGCTTGCATTAACCCGTGAGCTGTTTAATCTGTGAGCCAGCTGTACTTTTTGACTTGCCTGTCCACTGCAAGTCTGTCCTGACCTCTGGTGGCCACTCTGCTGGCTTTTAAAAAAAAATTTTTTTTTAATTATAAGAGAAAGTTTATTTACAAAGTTACAGAGGTAGAAGTGAGCCAGCTGGGCTGTGTGGGCTCAGGAACCAAGTTACAGGGGCAGAGGAAGGGCCTAGGAGCTTAGGAGAGGGAAAGGCAAGCTGATGTGCACATGGGGAAGAAGGGAGGGAAGGGAGAGGCGCAGTACGCTCCCCGAGACGAGAGGGAGATGGAGGGTACACTCTGGGTCCTTCGTCTTCAGGGTTTATTAATGACCAGGAGTTTAGGAAAGGTCTTAGAGGAGGATCTCAGTAGAATATCTGTCAGCTTTATGCTGATGTGCCAAAATGAGATTCATTCCCCTGACCTTAGCCCTCCTTGGATGTGGTTGGCACAGATGGCACTAACTGGATTCCTGCTGTCTACCTCCTTGAGTAGGATGACTTAAGCGGTTACCCTCCGCCTGGGGAGGGGAAGTGCATACCATTTACACTTAAGTGGCCTTGGTTAAGAAGGTGGCTGCAACCTGCTTGCCCATTTAACTATCTGTTTCAGTTTTCCTGTTCCAGTTGTCCTGGCGTACGAGCCTGTCTCGTTCCCCCCTCAGAGTCTTCCACCTCTGAAACTTTTTAGGGATAATATGGGAGGAGTGTCAGTCTTCATTCCCACTGATAAGGGCCATGGTCCCTGCCTATATAGGGTGTGGAAGTCTCTCCCTGCCTGGTCTAAGGGAGACAAGGAATGGGATCCGAGACTGCAACAGAGAGGCTGTTAGCTGACTCTTCCAGAGTAGGGATGGCTGGCATCCCGGAAGCATCATCATCTTGATCTGGAATTATATCCAGAAGCAAAGTTGGTTGGCTTCCTGCCTTGACTCACTTCTAGTCTGGCTTTACTTACTGCCAGCTTGCTGACCTACTAGGTTGTGCCCTGGTTTTTCTGGCTGCTGCTTTGGAAGATGTTGATTCAGGGTTTTCACTAAAAGAAGATGACATGTGACTGAGTAAAAGATTTTTCTTCTTTTTTCTTTTTCCATAGCTTACATTACCCAAATCAGGGATTGCCTAACTTTTTTAAAAATAAAGTGCTGGGTAGTAAATATTTTAGGCTTTGCAGGTCATATAGTCTCTGTCACATTTATCCAGCTATGCTGTAATTGCATGAAAGCAGCCATAGACAATATGTAATCGAATGAGCCTGACTGTTTTCCGTAAAACTTTATTTATTAAAAGAGCTAGTGGATGCGTAGTTTATTGTACAGTAACTCTACCTAAATAAAGCTGGTGCAAATAGAAGTAAACAAACAAATAAATAAATGACAGATGCTGGACTGGATTTAGCCTGCAGGTTATAGTTTGTTAACCACTTGTTTAAGTCATTGAAACTAGGTAAGGGATATTATAATTGGAACGACCCTTAGAAGTATCCAGTTCAACCACCTCATATTGTGCATCAGAAACCGAGAAACAGAAAAGGGAAATTGTTTGCCCAAGGCCACACGGCATGTCAGTAACAAAGGTGAGATTCTTTAGATGTTCATTTCCCAAACTGAGATATAAGTGCTATTTTAAATAGTTAAACAGGTTTCTTTTTTACAAGAATTCTCAAACCCTTTTTCTTGCTAAATTCTCTTCCTTGAAGAAGATTCAGTTAGGTGCTACAAAGCCAAGTGTCTGTTATACCTCCATTGTTTAGTATGTCCCGTGATGATACCAACATCAGTGGGGGAACATCATTTAAAAGCACATCTGGGTGATAAGCAACAGCATAGGGCTTCCCTGTAGGGGCAGTGGCATAAACGATAATCTAAATTTATTTGATAATTATCATTATCTTCCTCATCAAGAACTAACACATAGCACTTACTGTGTGTATTTTTAATATGCACAGCTTATTAAATGTTTTTCATGGAGTCTTTGACCATTATTTTGTGGAACCCAGTTTCAGAACGTAACTCTAGGCTAATTTCTTCACAGAGTTTTTACTACTACTTTCTTTTCTTTTCATTAGTTGGTCGTGTACATTTACTAATAGCAGTCTATTCCTAGATGAGGCTAAAACAATGAATGTGATGCAGTTTGTGTTCTAGGAAACCTAACCATATGGATGTGATGCAGTGTTTTGCTTTACATTTTATTTTAGGTAATGTGGTTTGGCTGGATGAAATGACAGCCACACGAGCCCTTATCAATATGAGTTCTCTGCCAGACCTGGATAAGATAAGAGGCAGGGATGCCAATGAGGACAAGTCATCTGAGAAAAGCAAAAAAGGTAACTGAACACAAAGGAGGGACTTTGGGGCTGAAAGTCCTGTTATTTACTCAGTCAGTTTGGGTTTCTGTGCAGAGCGTTATATAGCATCTCCTCACCAGTCATTCCTGAAATGGGGTGTGATGTTTTGGATCATCATTAAATAGAAGGAGAAAATAATTGGACTTTTAAATGATATGAGATGGAGTTGTGTTAAAGTTCACCTTATCCCTCACATTCCATTTTAGGCAAGCAGGAAGACAGTTCAGATGATGATGAGGCTGAAGAAGGAGAAGTTGAAGATGAAAACTCCAGCGATGTAGAGGTTAGTAATAGGGAAAAGATATATGTAAGGTTTTACTGTAAAAAACTGCTCACTATCTTTTTATTTAAGGCTTAAAGACTTAGTAGTTATGTTCTTCCTCTGACTCTCACCAGTAGACCTTCTGCCCCAGGCCCTTGGCCTTTAAGTTTGTGTGACTGAATGAGTCATCTTGAGATCTTAAAGCAGTACTCACACTATTGTAAAAGAAAATGATTTCATTGAGAAATACTTTGAAATGTTATCCAATCACTAAAATTAAGAAAAAGCAAGTAATGGCATGTTTCCTAATGGATTATATACTATTGTTGGAAAAAATAAAGTGTGTTCATTTAAAAAATATGCATTGAGTGCTTACTATATACCAAATTCTAGGTGCTGGGGATATAGCATCAAGCAAAACAGAGTCTTTGCCCTCTTGGAGCCTACATTCTAGTGGGGAAGACAGACAGTACACAGATACACAGATATGTAATGTCAGGAAGTGATAAGTGCTATGAAGAAAATTAAGAAGGGTAAGTGGATAGAGAATGATGGAGACCTTTTTTTTTTTTTTGACAAGGTGGTCAGGGAAGACCTCTGACTTAGAAACTCTGCAGAGGAAGTAGTGCCGCAATGCTGATGAGTGTTATTAAAGGCAGAATGCTTTCTTATCGGTGGTAACTTTGCTACTGAGTAAAAGTGAAAATGGCTTCAATTTTTATATTGAAATACTCTTTTTTTCTTAAGTTGGACACATTATCTCAGGTAGAAGAAGAATCTCTGCTAAGAAACGATCTTCGTCCAGCTAACAAACTTGCTAAAGGAAATAGGTTATTCATGAGATTTGCTACAAAAGGTAAATATGATATTTGGTATTGATTTTTATTTTTACTCAAAGTGATTTATTATTGAATGATGTTTTTCTCTTTTGAATCAGAAATTAGGTCACATAATCTCAAAGTCCCTTGAAACTATAATATTTTGTGCTTATGAAATGATGGCTTGCTGCCCAAATTGAAATTTCTGACTTTGAAAGTAAATATTAACTATTCGCATCCCTTTGTGATTTCTGGCTAAAGTAAGTTGGCTTCCTTTTAAGCTGGTCTGACCCATGTGCTTTTCAGCCAGTTTATCTGAACTATGAAAGCCTTTTAAAATTGTGTATTTTTATTTATCACAGCAGTACCCTCCTGGACATTGCTCATAGTGCCATTCAGCTCTTAATTCTCAAAGGAATTAAACCAAGTCTCTAATAATTTGTAAAGGCTTTTTTTTATGCACAGTGATTTTTGGTGCACATTAAACACACACACACACACAGTTTATTGAGTTAGAGATGATAATCCTTCACCCTTGAATACTTCAGTATGTATTTCTGAAGAACAAGGATTTTGTTTTACACATAGCACAGTTATCAAAATCAGGAGATTTAACATTAATACAACACGATACATAATCCATAGTCCACACTCAGATTTCATCAGGTGTTCCAAGAATCCCCCACTCTGTATATTAAAAGTGTCTGACACTCTGACTGATGTGTGTAGCACTTCTTGATAATGATGATGATGATGATAATTTTCAAATAAATTTGGATTTTCCTTTATATTTCTCCTGCACTAAACTGATCCACTTCGGGACTGGGCGTTGAAGTATGCCATATCTCCTCAGGCTCCCTGAATCTGGAACTACCCATCTGCTTTGTTTTCCTTGACTGAACCATTTTTAAAAGAGTATAGCCTTATTACTTTATAGGCAGCTCTTTAATGTGGGTTTGTCTCATGTCTCTTCCTGATTATTTGGGTTGCGCAGTCTATGCATTGGCACAGAAGTGATGCTGTGTTGTTTTCAGTGCTTCGTATCAGGAGGCACATGATATTTATTTGTCTCATTCCTGTGGATGTTAACTTAGCACTTGGTTAAGGTGATGATTGCCATGTTTCTCTATACTGTAAAGTATATTTTTTCATTTGTAATTTTAAAATTTGTGGGAAGATACTTTGAGATTGATTATGAAAGTAGGCCTTTGCTCATCAAACTTTCACACAGCTTTAGCATCCATTGGCTTTCTAACTCCATCATTTCTCTACTAGTTGGCAGTCTGCTGTAAGGAATAACTTTCCCTTTTACCCATTTATTTATTTACTTATTTATATCAGTTTAGAGTGACGGAAGTTTATTTTATTCAGTGGGTTATCATACGTTGCTATCATTATTTTGATTCACGAATTGTCTTGGATTTGGCCAGTTGAGCCCCTTCTACTTGGGTGCTTTAGATATGTCTCCATGATTCTTAGATCACTTTCTTCATGGCACACTAAAACATCTTGTTTTTCCAAGCTCAGTTTGTATTTTTGCCTCCTAAGATCTGGAACCAGCCATTTCTCCTCAGGCATGTTTTTTTGTAGGGGGCACACACTAGTTTGTGGTGCTGAGTTTACCCGTAGCACTGATACATTCACACTGGAGTTCATTGTCCCTTGCAGTCAGTGAGTGCCCAAGGAGTTGCCAAAGTCCTTTATATTGTGAAAATTATGTGGGCTCACTGACCACCCTTCCTATTAATTGGCATTTTAAAAAAAATTCTCACCCAAGGATATGCTTATTGATTTTTTTTTTTTTTTTTGAGAGAGAGAGAAACATTGATCAGATTTCTCCCATATGTGCCCTGACCAGGCATTGAACCTGAAGTCTCTCGGTGTACAAGTCTACATTCCAACCAGCTGAGTCATCCTGCCAAGACTAACTGGCATTTTAGCTTAATAAAGGGATCTTTTCTACATTTACTCATGTGAGTGGTTATTTGAGTATATTCTAGGTATATGGTATCATGCTGCTTTCCTTAAGTATGGTAAGTAGTATGGTATTGTGCTGAGAAAATCACGAGAAACTGGAAAAAAAATGGTTTATCACATATATGGAATTTCGATTCTGTATTATTGGAATATTGTTATTCTGAAATGAATGTCACCTTCCCCAGGGACAATGAAAATACTACCTCTCCTTAAAAGTCTTTTTAATTCCTGAGCACCTGTAATGACTAAAGCTCTCTCATCCTTCTTAGAACCTTGTATATTGTATCGTTGGGTTTTTCTAGTGGTATTTCTTCTATGAAGTCAGCTCCTTAAGAGCAGCTTCGCCTCATTCATCTGTTTTGTTCTATCCCCCCGCACTGCCTTAGTAGGCACTTGGAGTGAATGTGCTTATGTGACTCCAGCTATGGAAACAGTCTTTTTTTTTTTTTTTAACTATTCCGCATTGTTTTCACGCCCCCAGGAAATCCTAGGTAACTGTTGTAATTGATTTTTAGATGACAAAAAGGAACTTGGAGCAGCCAGAAGAAGTCAGTATTACATGAAATATGGGAATCCAAATTACGGAGGCATGAAAGGAATTCTTAGTAATTCTTGGTGAGTCCAAAAGTGTGAAATATAGTAGTTAAATTTACCTTAATCCTTAGTCGGGCTTCTGCAGTGGAATGTCAGCACCATGCGGACTCAAAGGAAGACAAGAGGGGAGAGTGCAAGATTCTTTTTTTTAATTGATTTTTTAGAAAGGGAGAGAGAGAAATAACTATTTGCGTTCCACTTATTTATGCACTCGTTAGTTGGTTCTTGTGTGTGCCCTGGCCGGGAATCAAACCCGCCTTGGCGTATCAGGACAACCCTCTGACCAACGGAGCTACTTGGCCAGGGCTGAGTGCAAGAATCTTAACTGTGGTAGATGGTGTGAGAGTGCTGAGTTTCAGTTTTATTTCCCATGTCTCTGTCTCAACACCTGACATTGTGTCAGTGTGTAGCTGAAATTAATCAGTGGGTTTCGAGGTCCTTCCCTGGCGGTCTTTGATTTTGTGCTTGTTTTGGCAATGTTGCAGGAAGCGAAGATATCATTCCCGTCGCATTCAGCGGGATGTGATCAAGAAGAGAGCCCTGATTGGGGACGATGTTGGCTTGGCTTCCTATAAACACCGACATTCCGGTAGTTGCCTGCTCAGCTCTTGGGTAGACACATGTTTGGCTCCCGAAATCATATTTTTATTCTTAATACAGTCTTTTAAGGTTCCAAACTTTATCATCCTCTCTTCCTTGCCCTCACCCTCTGCCAACATATAGGAAAGTAAGTCAAGTCACAGTTAATTTTAAATTGCCCATACAAAGAGGTCAAATGATTTTATATAAGCTGTTCTAACAAAAAAAGTCCAAATGTGACATAGGGAAAATTAAAATAAAACAGTTCTTAGGAATCTAATTGTTCCTACTATTTATATCAAAAGCTGCATGAAAAATTTTTTAAAAAATATTTTATCAGATTAACTGATTTTACTGTTCCTTTGTCTGAAAATGAAAATAGGCTGCTATGTCTGGTGTTTTATGCTTATTGGCTTGTGCATATGAATGCCTCCAAAACGTGGGATATCATGACTCAGGTCTCCTCCCCTCCCCTCCCCTCCCCTCCCCTCCCCTCCCCTCCCCTTGTCCTCTTCTCTTTTTTCCTTCTTTCCTTCTTTCCTTCCTTCTGTCCTTCCTTCCTTCCTTCCTTCCTGTGCTTATTGTAAAAGAACAATTTTCATTATGTTTCATAAAGATTTCTTTTTATTTTGAACCTAATCTACGTGATCTTCTACCTGCTTTATAGGACTAGTTAAATCAGCATACAGACATGGAATAACATGCATATACATTTATCATTGTAATAAGGATGGGGAGAGGTGAAGTCTATACCTTCTTAGTTAATGTCTATATAGAAAATTGTATATTTGAAATTTGCATCTTATGCTGTTACACTTCTCTAATGTCAGTTACTTTAAGATATTTTTATCATGCAATTTTTATATTTATATTAAAGAAATTAAAAAGATTTCCCCTAATTCTAGCACTCTAATGTAACACTGACTTCATTTTACATTTTTCCTATTCATTTCTTTTCATAATAAATATTAGAATTTTTGTGAACATATATTTTATATCTGCTTCTTCAGCTATTTCTAAGTATTTTCCCATGAATTTAAAGTTATAGTTGATTTTCATTATTTCTGGTGGTTATGGTCTGTGAAGTCACCAGGATCATTGAAGGATCTGGTCATACCATTTTTATCAGCTGATCAATATATAACCTTGTGTGATGTTTGTTTCTGTTTAAAGACACCTTATTTTAATACATTTAATACATTTACTAACATGGACTCACAGTCAGTCAACAGCACTATAACTCATGTCTGAACAAAGCTTATCTAATGCACACATTTTCCCTGTAAGGTTCATTACACCCTCCATGCACTTAGGAACACGAAACAGTGAAATCGCCAACAGAAGCCACAAAAAGGTGAAAAACGTGGCACTCAGTAGCCTGCACAAAGGATGCTCGCTTTCAGTGTGAGAGAGGAAACAAGGCAGAGCAGTGCCTTGTTTGACCTCAGCTGGGAGTGTGCGTGTGCAGTGACTCCGATTTTCCTGCCGCTCTGCCCACGAAAGCACTGCGAGTTAGAAATAAAGTTGGCGGATTCCCAAACATAGAGTCTATGAATAATGACAATTGACTGTATTTTAGATAATTTTATAATATTCCATAGGCCGCTAGGTCATACTTTACCTAGCCATTCTTCTATTGTAGATATCAGATTGGTAACCAGGTCGGCACTGTTGTAGATAACGCTTTAATAAAAGCTTGGGCATGGGATCCCCTTCTTTTAAAAAGGTCATTGAAGTGAATAGGAAATTAGATTTGTCAGTACTTTTCCTAATGTTTTTTTGGTTAACTTCCTTAGGACTAGTGAATGTTCCTGAGGAACCCATTGAAGAAGAGGAGGAAGAGGAGGAGGAGGAGGACCAGGACATGGATGCAGACGACAGGGTAGTGGTGGAGTACCACGAGGAGCTCCCAGCTCTCAAGCAGACCCGGGAGCGGAGCACATCCAGGCGGTCCAGTGCCAGCAGCTCAGACTCTGATGAAATGGACTATGATCTAGAACTGAAAATGATTTCCACTCCTTCACCAAAGAAAAGCATGAAAATGACTATGTACGCTGATGAAGTGGAATCTCAGTTGAAAAATATTAGGTAAAATTATTTTTTATTTTTGTCAGTGCCTGCTTTTAGTTTGATTTTAAATACTAATTACTAACTTTTAATTCCTCTTAGTTTTATAATCACTTTATCTGTTCTAATTTTAGTCTTTTGTAGAGTTTGAATAAAAGTGTTCAATTTTTCCTTAAAGTATGTAAGAAGAACACCTTGTTATAGACAATGTAAAAGGAGAAAATCACCTGTATAATCATCCTTTCCTAAGATAAGAACTGTTAGCAATTGGATGAAGAACCTTCCTGCTCGTTTTATGCATATGCATAACACATGGAGAAATTATAGATATGTTTGTACAAAAATGTAGTTATGCTATGCTTTTTCCATTTAATATATTGTAGACATCTGCTGTCTTTTCAACTGTATATAGTCCATTGTTTGAAAGTATCATGGTTTATTTAACCCAGTCTCTTACTGATGGACATTTAGGTTTCTGTTTTTCTACTGTCACACTAATAGATAAATCCTTGAATTGCAGTTACTGCACTAAAAAGATAGGTGTTTTAATATATGGTATTGCTGCCCTGCCTGGGTGGCTCAGTTGGTTGAAGCATTGTCCCATACACCAGGAGGTTGCATGTTCAATCCCTGGTCAGGGCACATAACCTAGGTTGTGGGTTTGATCCCAGATAGGGGTGTGTACAAGAGGCAACCTATTGATATTTCTCTCAAATCAGTTTCTCTTTCTCTCCCTGACTCCCTCCCTCCCTCTCTCTTTCCCTTTCTCCTTCCCTCTGTCCCTCTCTCCCCCTTCCTCTCTAAAATCAGTGAACATATCTTTGGATGAGGATTTAAAAAAATTTTTCTTAATGTAGTATTGCTAAATTTCATTCCAGAAAGATTATTCACTCACAGTGCCACCTGTTACCCACATACTCACCAATGTTAGGTACCGTCACTTTCTACGTTTTGCTAATTTCATAGGCAAAAAACTAGTTACTTTAATGTACATTTCTTTGATGACTAGTGGGGATGAGCAGAATCCTGACGGTAGATAGCATGTGCACAACTCAAAGGATTGGAATCTAGGGATGCTGTCTGTAAGTGTGCTTGGGTGGTGTATTTGGGGAAAGGAGAAAGCACATTCAAGCTGGTTTGTGACATCCTCATTTTTAGTTTTCACAGACCTTTGTAATGGTAAATGCTGCCAAAATAATGCTGGTCCTTAGAATGGTAGCAGATCTCTGACAGAGAAGTTAGCCCTTTAAAGAAAGGGATTGTAGACTCTTGTATCTTCATTCTAGCCAAACCACAGCTGGGTGAGCAGAGGCCCCAAGCCATCTACAGGCCTCTACCTTCACATTTGTTCCCAGCCAAGGAGACTCACAGTTACATGCTCTGTTATAGCTTTACAGATACCATATGTGGAAACCACCCTGGAAGACTCAGGAACCTGCTCACCTTGGCCAGTCTCTTTACAACAGGCTGATCATGATTTTTGTAAACAAATACTTACTGGTATAAGTGAATGTTGGCTGTATTAGATTGGGTTTTTAAATTTTTTCTTCAAAAGTATGAGATTGTTATGTTGACATTGTCCCACATTGAAACTGGTTAACTGTGCCCCTATTTTTTAAGGAACTCCATGAGGGCAGATACCGTATCCACAAGCAATATCAAAAACCGAATTGGTAACAAATTACCACCTGAGAAATTTGCAGATGTCCGGCATTTATTAGATGAAAAACGTCAGCACACACGTCCACGGCCATCGGGCAGCAGTACTAAATCAGGTATTGTTGTTCAGTTGTATTTCTGAGCTTCACTCTGAGCTCCAGAAAGCACATTGGGGCAGGGATAGGTTTTTAGATGAAATGTTGCTGTTCATGGACCTATTTAGTTGTCCTGGTTCATCACTTCTAAATTTTGAGTTAAGCATTGGACTTCAGGACATGAAAAATAATTATAAGAGTAATAGAAATTAGACAGACTTCCAATCAAGAGGAGGCAAACATGCTTCATCTCCTCACACAACTACAGAAAAAATTACAACTAGACCACAATCAAATAGCACCCAAAACCGTCAGAAAAATTGAGCTATATGGAAGTCAACAGCCAAGGATATAAAGAAGCCACATTCATGCAGATGGATAGGAGGGGTGGAGATGCAGTGTGGCCCAGAGAGGCCAGGGGGTAGGTAGGCCCATACCCTTGTGTGGGGGATAAAACTTGGGAGGGATATCTCAGGAGCAAGCAATCCCAAACCCAGGCCAGACCATACAGCTCAGGGTTCCAGCGCCTCATAAATTCTTGCTGTAAAAACCAGTGGGGGTTGGGTTGGCGGAAGAAACTGCCAGATTTGCAGGAGACTCCTCTTAAAAGGGCCCACACAGGCTTAGGACTTACTCAGAACCCACTCAAACTCTGGGATTCAGCACCGGGGCACAGCTGGAAGGGCACCAGTCACATATGTGGAGAAAGTGAAGTGACTGGAAACAGGTGAGTGCTGGGAAACAGCTTCCTCCTGGACAAACCAGAAGCCAGGCAGGGGCATTGTCCTATCTCTGAGCCCTTCCCCCACACAGAGCCACAAAGCAGCTTGGGATGCCCTGCCCTTGTGATTACCTAAGGCTCCGTCCCACGCAATTTACAAGAACCTTTTCTGCAATAGGCCACGGCACTAAGACAGAGAGTCATAGCAGCTCTACCTAATACAAAGAAACAAACACAGGGAGGCTGCCAAATTGAAGAGACAAAGAAATATGGTCCAAATGAAAGACTAGAACAAAACTCTAGAAAAACAACTAAACAAAATGGAGATAACCCACTTATCAGATGCAGAGTTAAAAACGCTGGGTTATCAGGATGCTCAAAGAACTCATTGAGTATGGCAACAGCATAAAAAAGACCCAGGCAGAAATGAAGGTTACGTGAAATGAAATAAAGAAAACTCCACAGGGAACTAACAGTGGAGAGGATGAAGCTGAGAATCAAAGTAAGGATTTGGAACATAAGGAAGTAAAAAGAATTCTATCAGAACAGCAAGAAGGAAAAAACAAATTGAAAACACGAGGATAGTCTAAGAAGCCTCTTGGACATCTCCAAACATACCAACGTCTGAATAATAGAGATGCCAGGAGGAGAAGAGGAAAAACAAGAAACTGAAAACTTACTTGAAAAAAAATAATGAAAGAAAACTTCTGTAATTTGGTGAAGGAAATAGACATACAAGTCCAGGATGCACAGAGAGTCCCAAACAAGTTGGACCCAAAGAGGACCACACCAAGTTACATCATAATTAAAATGCCAAAGGTTAAATATAAAGAGAGAATCTTATAAGCAGCAAGAGAAAAGGAGAGTTAGGTACAAAGGATTTCCCATAAGACGGTAAGCTGATTTCACGAAAGAAACTCTGCAGGCTAAAAGGGACTTGCAAGAAGTATTCAAAGTGATGAAAAATAAGGACTTACCACCTAGATTACTATATCCAACAAAGCTATCATTTAGAATTGAAGGGCAGATAAAGTGCTTCCCAGACAAGGTAAAGCTAAAGGAGTCCATCATCACTAAGCCCTTATTATATGAAATGTTGAAGGGACTTATGGAAGAAGAAGAAGAAGAAGATCAAAACTATTAAAATGACAACAAACTCACAACTATCAACAACCGGACCTAAAAAACAAAAACAAAAGCAAACTAAGCAAACAACCAAAACAGGAATAGAATCATAGGGTATGGAGATCATTTGGAGGGTTCTCAGCTGGGAGAGGGAAGGGAGGGAATGAGGGGGAAGGTGCAAGGATTAAGAAGCGTAAATTGGTAGGTACGAAATAGATGGGGATGTTAAGAATAGCATAGGAAACAGAGAAGCCAAAGAACTTCCATGCATGACCCATGGACATGAACTGAGGAGGGTATTGCTGATGGGAATGGGGATACAGGAGGGAGGAGAGCAAAGGGAAAAATTGGGACAATTGTAATAGCATAATCGATAAAGTATATTAAAACAATAGTAATAGAAATTAAATTGTTGTAGAAATGGCTAAGAATTTGAACTAGATGCACATGTAATGGGTACTTGGCCATGCCTGCCATGGGCCAGGCCCTGGGCAAGGTGCTGGAAATGTTCAAAGTCTTTGGAGGGGATGCAAAGTCATCATAGAGCTCTGATGGTGAAACACACAAGTACACACATTTGGACCATTCCACCCAAAGCAGAGTGGAGGAAGGGCTCTGATGGAAGCCAGATCTACTGGCAGACTTGTTAAAGGCTTCTTAGAGAAAGCGGCTTTAGAGTGAAGCCTCGGGGAGGGAATAAGATCTCAGCTGACAAATGTAGTTTTTTGAGGAAGTAACCTGATCTTATAACTATTTTAGAAAGATAACTTGGGAGCAGAGAGTGGGGTGGGGTATAGAGTTCAGGAGCAAGGGCCCGAACTAGGCCAGGGACCGCAGAGATGGAGTAGATGAGAATGTCAAATCGTGTGAAGAAGACTCAGCCCTGGGATGCCAGGGAGGAAACGGAGAGAAACCGGGCGGCCCAGGCCTGAGGGACTGGAAGGACGGAGGTGTGGCTCTCTGAGGGGAGGGGCAGATGGGTATGAGCTCTGGCGCAGTGGCTTGCTAATAAATAAACGTGGTTTTTTGTTGTTATTGTTAGAGGGGACTCGGGAGGACAGGCAGATTTGGGGGGATGCGGTTTAGAGGAAAAACATTTGATTTGGGACCTCTTCCCTTCACCCTTTGTTTTTCACCACTTGTATTACCATTATTGTTAAGTGTGGTAAGTTTACTGAGACCTTACATGTTCAAAGGCTGTGGCTTCTGCCCCCAAGAGGTTTGCAGTATTGTTTGTTAGCTGACATGTTTGTAAATTGCTTGCTCTGCTTGGTTCTACTTAAAAAACAAAAAACAAGACAGTGGATTCTGCCTCAGAAATTCCTTTCTGGGGCAGTCAGCTGAGATTTTCCGCCCCGAGAGCCCCTATGTCTGAATTTTCCCAAGGGAACCCAGACTGAATGCAGAGAAGGCTTTTAGAAGCTTGAATGTGTCACGTCCTTTGTCCTCACTCGGGGAGATCTGGACCAGGTTCTATAACCACCTCAGGTTAACAGTACAGATGGCAAAGCACACACGCTTGGTAAAAATAGTATTTTTTTTTTTCTTTTTCTAGATATACGCCAGCGGTTAGGAAAAAGACCACATTCTCCAGAAAAGGCTTGTAACCCCATTGTTCGGAGAGAGCCCTTTTCTGATGTACATAGTAGGCTAGGTGTTCCCAGGCAAGACATTAAAGGCCTCTATTCTGATACTCGGGAGAAGAAATCAGGTTGGTAACACTTAAAACTGATGGGGATGGGAATTGGGTAAGAGCAGGTGCAATGGGTAAAGCATAGAAATACTTCATTAGCAGAAGGCAGTAAATAGCAAATGCCAAAAATAAATTGTTTTTCTTCTATCATTATAATCATTGTAATGACAATGATGACGATGATGATGATGATGATGATGATGGTGATGATGATGGTGGTGGTGGTAACAGTATGGACAATTTAAAAAAAGAGACTCACCCTGGTTCTTTCTGTTTAGCACAAATACTTCTTAGTTTCATGCTATTCTAGTCTTTGTCTATACACATACCCTACTTTTGCATATAGCATTTTATCATAGTCATTTTTCTACATTGTTAAATTCTTTATAAAACTTAATTGCCTCATAGTGATCTATACTATGAAATTCTAAACACATATTTCTCTATGATTAAATATGGATGAAGTATATTTTTAAATTCATGGAGGTTGAGCAGAATCTCTGAAAGTTGAGTGTTGAAGGCCCATTTGCTTGTAGAGTATGACAGTGGGGGGTGCTGTGGGGCTGGCCCACTCCTGGCACGATGCAGCTGTGCACGGGGGCAGGGTGGGGGTGCACCAGGGAGGGGCAGGTGGAGCATTAACAGACTCCCCGGTGATTCCCATGTGCCTAGTGTTGGGGAGGGTGCCCCCCAGCTGCGAGGATCTCTCCTTGAATTGAGATCCCTCTATTTGTAGGCGGGGGATTGCAGCCAGGAAATGAGGTTCCTTGCCCAAGGCTACACAGTGGTTGCGGGTGCCACAGGACCCCCCACCTCCCAGTGTTTCCTGCTCATCAGGTGTTGGCAGTACCCCTGCCTCCTCAGTACTACCCAGCTCTTAGCATTGACAAGCGAAACTAAAATGCCTTCTCATTCAAACAGGTAGTTTATGGACTCGCTTAGGATCTGCATCCAAGACCAAAGAAAAGAACGTGAAGAAAGTGGACCATAGGGCCCCTGGCACTGAGGAAGATGACTCTGAGCTGCAAAGGGCATGGGGGGCTCTGATTAAGGAGAAAGAACAATCTCGCCAAAAGAAGAGCCGGTTAGATAACTTACCATCTCTCCAGATTGAAGTTAGTCGGGAAAGCAGCTCTGGTTCAGAGGCAGAATCCTGATGCCCTCAGGGCTGATGGCAGCTGCCTTAAAGCTTGACATTCTTGCGCAGGGTGGGGCGCACAGTAGGAACCTCCCCTGCAGGAGTCGGTGCCCCTCCTGCATTTACTCATACAGCCACCCTCAGCCCTTGCTACTTTAGCAAGACCTCTTAAGAATGTGATGTGTTTTGAAGGGCATCTGTCTTTTGCTGCAGAGTTATAGTTCTGGGCCCTCGGTTTTTCTCCTACCACCCCACAAGCTTTACCCTTTGAGAAAAAGGCAGCCCTCCCGATTTTGTAGACTGTTTTTCTTAATATTTTTAACATTGTGTCTTTTAAAAGAAATGTTTTACACAGTTCATCCAAAGAGCAGAGAACTGAACTTCTCACTATTGCCTTGGCCCCGACAGCTGTTACCAGCACCCTTTTCCCAAGAAAAGTCAATTCCCAGGTGCTTATTGGACAGCCTTCGAGGGGGAAGATGAGGGAAGCTGCCAGTTCACCCTTCCAGGACCCTAGTGTGGGGGCCGAATCTCATGGACCTGACCTCAGAGGTGCACCAGTGCTGCCCAGGTAGATGAGAGACACAGCGTCGGTGACCGTGCTTCCGTTGCTCCCTGGGGATTCTGTTAGGAACCTCTTGCTAGCGATCAGCTTGAAGTGAAGATCAAGTTCAGTGCTGTGGGATTTTTAGGAACAAAAAACAGACTTCTGGATTTGGGGTGGGTTTTTTTTTTTGTGCTAGGGGCGGGGTCATGGAGTAATATTGAACAATTTTTAAGTTTGTATTATGTTTAAAAAATATTAATGGTTTAAAAGTTAAAATTTTTAATTTTTATATGTGAAAATACTTCCTGTTGGCTAGAAGGGAAGCTCAAGTGGTGTCTAATGTGCTGTTAAATATATATTATATACTTTGGAAGAAGGCAAAGAGAGGAGTCTCATTATTTTTAAATGATCCTAATTGTATAGTCTGTTGTACATAGAGTTCAGCTTGCTTTTTGGCCATTGTAGGAAAAAAAGATCCATCCATCCAAGATGGGGTTTTATTGTTTATTATCCCTTTAGAAGTAATACATTGATATTCTTTCTGTCTCCAAATTCTGGCACCTGAAGACATCTTCAAAACTCGTAAATAAGAGAGTAGTTGATGAAATTTTAGTTCATTTATTTTTAAACTCCTTTCAGATTATTTTAACCACAAAAAGGCAATGGATTATTTTGTTTGCTGTCTGATTTTTTAATTTTGAAGCATTTAATATTGGCATTCCTCAGTAGACTTAAAAATAGCATTTCACTTCAGTTCACCAGGGCTTAGGAGTTAGAGATAGAAAGGCCTTTGTCCTTTTTGTGGTGTGCCAGCGCTTCACCGGTCTGAGCGTCTCAGTGCCCAGTGCAGCCCTGGATTCTGGAGCTCTTTGCTTGTGGCTGAGCTAAAATTAATGGTCACATGGGTAGTTGATTAAATTCAGAACACTATTGTTAAAGGGCCGTGAGACTTGAGGGCCGCAAAAACTATATTATCCCTTTTTTGTTGGTTAACCTGTTTTTTCTTTCCTCCCTTTAGAAAAATTAGAGCATATAACTATGATAGGTTTCAGCTTCCTAACAGGATTCTAGGGAAAAGATGGTTTAACTTTCTCTGCCAGTTGAGACCTAAGGTTCTGAGGCTTCTCCACTCCTCTTGGCTCTTTGAAGCACACAGCTGAGAGCTAGGTTCTCGAGGAGGGTTTGGGGAATTGGCCGAGTGTGATGTATAAGGCCCTGTGAGTCAGAGGCTGGGATGCCAGTCCCTGGTCTGCCGCAGGGGCCTGGGCCTTGGTTTCTCTCTCTAGCAGATGAGCGGGCTGGTACCAGAGCTTCTGGCTTTGTTGGTGTGACCTGGTGGTGGTTGACTTTGCCACAGCTCTGGCTGCAGTGAGCTGGCCAGCACCGGTTTCTGCTGTAGATGGCAGAAGGGTCAAGGAGAAGGGTCAAGAGACAGCTGAGCTTTGCATGATGAGGCTGTGACAGGGACTTACCCCCAACCCACTCCTGTGTCCGGGCGGGACAGAAGTCTTTGAGGTCAGGATCCCAGCTGACATGGCCTCTGCAGTGTTCAGAAAGTGCCCCCCTAGGCTTTCCTCGGGGTCCCCAGTCGTGGCCCTTCCCCAGCCCTAGCTGGGGCCCACCTGTTCCACGGCCTCTTAGCTCTCGCCAGGCTCCTGCTAGGCACCAAGGAAGACTTTCTGGAAGGGTGATGGTGTGTAGTCAAAATTGGGTCTTTGATCTAACCAAAAAAAAGGCCCGCTTTAGGAGCCTGGCAATTCGTATAAACCCAGAGAGCACCAAAGGGCATCTTTAAGGGTTTTAAGTTTATTTCTGACAGTTACTGGCCCTCACCTCCCTTGCTCTCCGGCTGCCCTCAGGCACTCAGATTTTGCAGTATCTCAGGCGTGCCCTGCATGCCCAGGCCCTTTCTTAGGAGTTTGGGGGCACGGCTGGGCAGTCAGTTCAGCCCCCTGGCAGGCAGCTCAGTGGGCTTCCTACTCCTCTTAGTCTTTACATGCACAACGTTTTAAATAAGTTTTTGCTGCTTGATAATAACTCGATACCTCACTTCTGTTTCCCACTCTTATTCTCGGAAGAGGTATCCGCTCCCCCTGGGAACCTGTGGGGCCCTCCACAGGGTGCGAATGCTCTTCGCCTGGCCTCCTCCGGCCCAGGCCCCTGAACCCCTCCCCGTAGTTGAAGCGCTGTCTTCTCCTGCTCCCTCGCTGGGGCAGCCTCTTCACTAGAGTCGCCTCATCTCTCCCTCTCTGTTCCATGCACTGTATCCAGGATGAACTTTCCTTGTAGCAGCTAAGATATAATTTGTACACCATACAGTTCGCCCATTTAAAGTACATCCGTTGCCCCATTTAGAACGTTGTCATCACCGAAAAGAAATCTCATACCCATTAGTAGTCATTCCTCATTCCCTCCCTGCCCCCGCCCCCTACCACAAGCAACCACTGTTTCTGTGTCTATGGATTTGCCTATTCTGCACATTTCATCAATGGTTTCATACACTTGGTGGCTATTTGTGATGGGCTTCTTTCATTAAACATCTTTTCAAGGTTCTCCATGTTGCAGCATGTACCAGACTTCATTTCTTCTTATTGCTGAATAACGTTCCATTGTATGGCTGTACCACATTTTATTTATCCATTTACCTGTTAATGGACGTTTGGGTTATTTCTGCTTTTTGACTCTTACGAATAGTGCTCCTGTGAACATCTATGTACAAGTTTTTGCGTGGACATATGTTTTCATTACTCTTGGGTTATATACCTAGGAGTGGAATTGCTCAGTCATGTAACTCTATCCTTAATCTTTTGAAGAACTAGACTGTTTTCCCAAGTGGTTGCATCATTTTTCGTTTACCCCCAGCAATGTACAAAGGTTCCAATTTTTCTACATCCTCATGAACAACTAATTTCTAATGTAAATTGGTGTCTTATGATTTTGATTTGCATTTCCCTGACGACTAATGTTGGCTATCTTATCATGGCTTTGGGATGCTATGCTCCTTCTTAAACAGGTTATTCCTGTTATTTCTCTGCTTAAAACCATTCCAAAGCGTCACCATTGCCTGCCCTCACTGGTGTGGCTCAGTTGGTTGGAGTGTTGTCCCGTACACCGAAAGGCTGAAGGTTTGATTTGTGGTCAGGACACACATGGCAGGCACCCAGTCAATGTTTCTCTGTCACATCGATGTTTCTCCTCTCCCTTCCTCTCTCCCAAAAATCAATAAACATTTTAAAAATTAAACAAAAACCTCACCATTGCCCTTGCAATAAATCTCAAACTCCTCTTATAGCTCACGAGGCTGGTCAGATCTAGCGTCTGGCAGTGTCTCGGGCCTGCTTGCCCCATCCTCCCCTGCCGTGTGTTCGCGGCCTCCCCGGGCTCCTCTGAGCTCCCCGCCTGCCTTCCAGACTCGGCTCAGGGCCGGTCCTCCCCGCAGTGACGCCTGCCCCCGGTGCTGTCGCACTCCTGCCTAGCCTGCGTCCTCATCCTCAAGAACTTCGTCACCCCTCCACGAGGCTGTCTTCAACTTCCAGAGCCAGGTCGTGGGTCCCTGCTTTGTGCCCCGTGGATCTGCACGAAGAAGTCTCGGCTCACTCCAGGGATAGGTTATAAAGTCGTGCCTAAGGTAAACATTGGGTGTAATCAAAGTTCCTCTCAGAAACCCTGAGGAAGGTGCCATGTTGAAGACCAATGTCATGAGTGCAGCTCGTTCCTGCCCATGTGGGAACATCGTGGTTTCTTTGGCTGAGCACCAGATAAAGTGGTTGGTCTGAAATCAGGGCCATGTTGTACAAGAAATACTCTTTTTTTGGTGTCAGAGTCCCTCTCGGGTGAGAAGAGGTGCTTGGGAACTGAGGCCAGAGGAGCAGCAGAGGCGCGAGCTCGCCTCGGCCCTGCCTATCTGCGTAGTGAGTGGACGGGCAGGTGGAATGGGCCACATGACTTAAAATGATTTTCTTTTTTCCTTGTGTTCCCCCCGCCCCCAAATACCATGGTGTTTGTCTAAGTGAAGTGTGTGTATGGCACCAAAACTCTGTACTCTCCCAAGCCAGCACACCTTTACAGTGGACTGTAGTTCCCTGTTCCTACTTTGTCTTTTTGCTAGACTGTAAGCTCCGAGAGAGCAGGGACCATGTCTGGCTTGTTCCTGGGTTTCCCCAGTCCTACTGCCGTGCCTGGCACGTGACAGATCCCCATCGACGTGTGATCAGTGTGTAAGCCCCAGCGGCAGGGGCACCTCCATGCTCTGTGTCCTCAGTCCTCTTACAGGCTAGTCCTTGTTTTTCTGCCTTGTACACACAACACTTTGTTTTCCTGTTGTATTTTCCCTGCTAGCCTGTGAGCTCCTAACGAGCCAGTGTCCTCATGTTGGTGTCTCTATCCTCCCACCATGCCCGTCCAGGGTCAGTGGTGCTCAGTGAGTGTTTGGTACAGGAATGAACCATGGCAGCCTGACCCAGCTCTGGCACCTTTTGTCTGTAGGTCTGTGTGCTTCTAGCCAAGACCACCAGATTCGAGAAGAGGAAGATTGTTCAGAAGCGCATACACTGTGCTTATCTAAGAAAAAAATCTCAAATTATTAGACCTCAAAAAAATTTTAATTTTGGTGCTCGGTCATACCTGAGCTGAAGGTTACCCAGCTCTATAAAGAATTTGCTAGAGAATCATGTAGAGAAGAGGGCATCCATCGGCTCCAGGAGAGCAGGAAAGGGACTAGGCAGGTGGACAGGAGGCCCCAAAGAGGGACTGCCCGGCCGGTTCTCAGCCTCTGGTTCTGTTGATGAGAAGGGGACGGCAGTCCAGAGCGGGCGAGGAGAGATGGAGCGCTTCCTGGCAGCAGCTCTTGCCTAACGCGGCATTCCCGTGCTGCTGCGGGGCACTCTTAAAGCTCTACAGTTAAAGTTAGGGCAGAGTGCTATAACAGGCGATTTGGACTCAAGGTAACAGCAAATCGTGACTCAGATTAAATAATTGCTGCACAAATAAGTTTAATGTATAGTTACTTTCAAGCCTTTTATAATAAGAAACAGAAGTGAAGGCATTTTTTTCTTTTAAGAGCTAAAAGGGCAGAACGTGTTCTTATCATCTTGAGCATAGTGTGTTTGCTTCAAGGCAGATTGTTACCGTGCATTCTCACCACCAGTGACCTAGAACTTTCCTTATATGTTTATAAAATAAGCCCTAGAAGGAAAAATCCTATAGCTTTAAAAAATGAAATTTATGAACATTTCATAGAACTTTGATGTTCCTATGAGCAGTCGGGGAAATGCCAGCTCAGAGCCTACTTCAGATAGTCATGAGGCATTGTGATGGGATTTTGCTGTGATACAAATAAAACTCTAGTATGGGTAGTAGTTAATCTACCAAAGTCAACAGCCTGCCCTGGGGTTCCTTTTTTTTAAAAAATATATTTTATTTATTTTGAGAGGGAGGGAGAGAACATCCATGTGAGAAAGACATACTGATTGGTTGCCTCTCATACATGCTCTGACCGGGTACTGAACCAGTGCCCTTTCACTTTGTGGGATGACACCCAACCAACTGAGCCGCACTGGTCAGGGCTCTTGCTTGTTTTGGTTTGAGCAATTCTAGAGTTCGCCTCTGGGTGACCAGATTCTTCAGTACTTAAGACTTGTGTTCCCTCAGACTGTCACCCTCACCCCTAGACCAATGTAGGTTAGTGAGGGCAAGAGGCCCACGCAGTTGGCAGGAAGACTCGGCCTTCCCATCCCTGCCTGGGGTCATAGTGTGCTTAATCCTGTGATGCATCCCTTCTTGTCATTGGTAAGGGTTCCCAGAGGGTCAGATGGTATAGGGGCTGGGGCTGGAGCCCGAGGAGCTCACTTTGTCTCACATACAAATGGGAAAAGACTCAGCAAGTCCCTTTACTTCTCTGGACATCAGTTTCCCTGTGTGTCAAATGAAGGGCTCAACTGGGATGATCTCCAGTTTTCTTTTTAGTGTTAATGTGATTTCTGGGCTCTTTGCTGTACTTTCCCAAAGAGCACCAGAACTCTAAGCTGGCCAGGAAGGAAGAGGGGGCAAGCAAGAGGCCTAAGCCCTTGGACCCCTGGTTCTATGACTCAGGTACACCTCCTGCCCCCTCTCCCAGCCTCTCAGTAATGAAAGGATGAGATGATCCTTTCCCTTGTTCCTCCCCACTAAACCCCTTTGTCCAGCACATAGAGACACCATTCAGTGTTTTGTTTGGAAGATTTTTTAAGGAGGTAACCCAGGGTATTAGCCTGAGCTGCCCTAGCAGAACACTGTAGACTGGGCGGCTTCAATAACAAATTTATTTTCTCACCATCTTGAGGCTAGAAGGCCAAGATCAGGGTGTCAGCAGTCAGGCTCTGGTGAGGCCTCTCTTCTGGCTTGCAGACAGCTGTCTTCTCAATGGGTCCTCAAATGGCCTTTCCTTTTTGCATGCACTTGGAGAGAAGTATCTCTCCTCTTCCTCTTCTAAGTCTGTGGGATTAGGGCCCTACCTTTATGACCTTAAATATCTCCTAAAGGCCCATCCCCAAATACAGTCAGAGTGGGGGATATGGCTTCACCATACTCGTTTGGGGGTGGAGGGGACACTGTTCAGTCCGTGGCACCCAGTAATGCAAGGATCCCAGTATATGTTTGTGAAATGAGGTCCCTGCTTTTTAATAGCCCATGAACTGGGAGGGATTTAGACATACGGGTCTGAAGGCACTAGGTTTGTAGTGGTTCAGAGTCCTGGTTCTAGAGGATATAGACCTGTTTAAGTCCCAAGTCTGCCACTTACTAGCCTCGGGCAAAAATTACTTCTTAACATGAGCCCCCTCTCCGAGCCAGAGCCAGCGTCCTCAGTTTGTGAAATCAGGAGGGCGCTGTGAGGGTAGGGTGAGGGTAGGGTGAGGGTGTGAACGGGAGGCCCTTGGCACCCAGCCTGGGGCTCCCTCCTGAGTGCTCGTCCCTCAGCTCCCCTCTGCCACCTCTGTCCTCTGCTGCAGCCCTCTTTGGTCTCTAGTCCCAGTAACGTCCTCACTCTTCCTGATTCCCTCTTAGAACTCAGAAGACAAGTGGGTACTTAGGCACATTTCCTGAGTCAAGGCGATGAGGCAATGCTGTGGGAATCCCCGTCCCCGATGAGCAAGGCATTAGTGCCTCATTGCATGCTGAATACGTCTATAACTTTTGCTTTGAAGTTATAGAACAGTTTCAAGGGTAGAGCAAAGAACATTTTGCCACATTTTATCACTTATTCTTTCCCTCCCTCTCTGAACCATGAACTGTTTGAGAGTTACGTATGTCCTGTTCTTACTCCCTAAATATTTTAGGGAACATTTCCTAAGAACAAGGGCATTTTCTCATAATGACCATAGATAGTATAATGATCAAATTCAGGAAATGTATAGTTTTGCCTAATCAGTACAGTAGTATCTAATCTGTAGTTCATGTTTTAATTTTGTCAACTGTCCCAGTAATGTGGGCCCCCCCCCTCCCCTTTTAGTGAAAATAAATTCCAGGCAGAGTTGGTACACTGTGTGTGACTCTCCACAATCATACCGTTCCCCTCGCCTTTCTGGCCGTAACCAAAGACTTGGCTTTCCTGGTACGCCGTTCCCAGGAATGGCGGTGTATTTTGCTGAACGAATAATCCTTTTTAAAGCATTTTTTTTTTTAAACTTTTTGGTCAAGAATCCAATCCAGGGTCCCATTTGTTCTGCTTTAATCTGTAGCAATTCTTTGGCCTTTCTTCTAGGATATTGTTTTTGAAGAGTTCAGTCCATTTATGCTGTAGACTGTCCTTTGAGTTGGCCCCTTAACATTTGTTTAAAGTCAAAATTTAGTTAAGACGTCAATTTTCACATTTCTTTTGGAAACATGTACTTACGGAACGCCCAGCCTTGTACGTAGCCTTGGGACCTTAAGTTTGGGTTTGTGGGGACAGCAGTCGCCATCGGATGGGCTCGAAGGGCCCCAGATATGCTCATGACTGGGGGTCTGCCACGCCAGGCCCAGCGAGTGGGGACAAATGCCTCTTAGGCAGGTGCAGGGCGGGTCCTTATTCTAGACATCACTGAAGGTGCAGAAGGTGGCCCTGGGCCTGGCCTCATGAGGTGTCCTGGAGTTCGCACTCCAAATGCGAAGTCCTGGTCCTTCTCAGAAATCTCGAGCGAGCTGCAGTCCGGGTTCTAGCCTGTCTCCCCTGCTCATCACCTCGGTGGCTTGGGGCTAATCCCTTGTCCCTCTGGGACAGGGGTGGGAAGAGGAGCTCCCTGTGGCCCTACCAAGTGCCCCTGATACTCGCAAACAGGTGTGGGGTGGGGGAGAGTCACTACACCCTGGAGCTGGGGGAGACAGGCCATGGCTCCCATCTATGACAACGGTATGCCAGCCTAGGATGGGCTTCCCGTGATCCAGGAGCAGACATCAGACCTGGAGCTTTGCTTTTTCAGTGAACTACTCTGTTAGGTGGTATATAGTCTGAAAAATGCTAAATTATAATCTGTGTGAACAAACAGCCCTGTAACATCAGGAAACTATCTGACCAGTGGGTATTTTGTCAGACCAAAGCAGGCAATGCAAAAAAGTGTTGCCAGTCTTCACAAAACTCTGGCCAAGCAAGCTCTTAATGTAAGAAACAAAATAAAATTGATCTTTACCTAGTCCTTGAGTCAACACCGGGGTCTGCTGTGTTCTAACACTTAACACTTCTGAGCACTCTCCCTGGAGCTGGAGACACTCCTGCAAGAGAGACTGAGTCGCCTGCCTTTTAAAATATAAGTTAATTAAAATTAAATAAAATCTAACATTTTCCTTCTTCAGTTGCACTGGTGACACATCAAGGGCTCAGATGCCACCTGTGGCTGGTGGCTGCTGTGTTGGCACGTGCAGATGCAGGACATCCCCACGATCTGTGGGACACGGGTGAGGGAAACTTCCCCCAGCGACAGGTTCGGTCACACGGGAAATCTGCCAAATCGTGACATTAGCATTGAAATATGACTGCAGGCTGTTAGTGTGTCCTCTGGGACGCTGGCCTGGATCAGGGTGTGCTGAAAGACACAATTCTACTTCCTGGTGTTCTGGGAGCCCAGAGCTCCGTTGCTGAACAGAGAGTGATGTCAGTCACTGCATTGGATCTTTCCATGCACCTGGCCCTCTACAACCGCAGGGCCTTGAGGGCCAGGCCAGGCCAGCTGCAGGAGCTCAGTTTCCAGCTGTGGAGGCACTTCCTGTGGGAGGGGGGCCCATGATCACTGCTGAGGCGACTGTCACCAAGGACCCTGGGCCTGGTGCTGGGCTGCTGAGGTGTCTGGGGGTGTGTTCTGGGCCAGCGGGGCTGGGACTCACATGGAGGATTACCACTGCCCCTGGCCGAGGACATCGGGAGCTGTCTCCAGGCCATGCCTCAGGTCACCATTCCACGAAAGTGTGCGTGAGGGACAGGGCTGACAGGTGTCTCCGGGCTCCCAGGACTCAGCCCGCAGCCGCAGAGGACGCCACACAGCCTCCTCCGTAGAGTGGGAGGCTGTGTGTACCGCCTATGCGCACGCCTCTGTCCCCGCCTCCTGGCCACTGCCGCTGAGGAGGGGAAGCTGAGTGGGCTGTGGCCCACTCCGCTGCCTCTGCTTCGGCTAGGATGTGGCTCCTCCTCACTGTGCTCTGCATGACCAGTAAGTCAGCCTCAGCCCCTGCCCGGAGGGGCAGCTGTGCCATTGCACAACCCTGTCTGTCCATCTGTCTGTCAAATGGGCTCACAGCCAAGGAACAGAGAAAGTGTGGGAATGTCCCCAGGGAGCATCTTCCTCGGAGGGTGAGGTCCCCAGGCTTCCTCAGAAGGACCTCGGAGCACTGTAGACAGGGCTGACAGCCTGTGGCTTCTGACTCCAGAGCTCTGCCACCCCGATCCTTCTCCTGCCAGCCCTCCTCCCCACTGGGCCCTCCCCGCAGCGCCCACTCTGGGCTGGCCCTCGGTCTGGGCCAGGTTCCTTCTCAGAGTGGAGGCTGGTGGTGTCCCCCTCTCCCTGGCAGAGCAGCCTTCTGCAGGTCAGGGGTTCAGCTGACGTGGCGAGGCCCCCGTGAGAACGAGCGCAGACGGGGGGCGGGGGGGGCGTGTGTCGGTGTGGTAGAGGGCGAGTGCATGGGGGGAGCCTGCTTCCTGTTCCTGACGTTGGGGCCAGTACGCAATGGGGTGTGTGTGTGTGTGTGTGTGTGTGGTGGGGAGAGGGATGCTTCCTCCTCCCACTGCCTGGGGTCCCATCCTGGCCTTTAAATGCCCCATGGAAGCCACGTGGGGCAAGCCAAGCTCGAGCCTGCAGCTGCCGACAAGGCCCTGGGGATGGCATTGAGCACAGGCAGCCAGCCTGGAGGCTGCTCAGGTTGACGCAAGGCCAGGATGGTCCTGCCTGGTGACCTGGCCAGGCTTCCTGGGGCCTCCTGCTCTGGTCAGAAGAATGAGATGGACAGCAGGCAGAAGTGGTTTCAAGATTGCCAGGGGGGTGAGTGCTCCCTGAAGGGTGGGCCAGGCCCAGCCAGTGAGCACCGGGGCCTGCATGCCGAGTCCGTTCTGGAGCGGGCTCGGGCGCGGCACCCACCGCGGGGCCAGAGAGCCCAGAGGCAGGCCACACGTGTGCAGGCCGCCGGCGAAGCGCGATTTTGGGACCCCTTTTAACGTACAATAGTACAAAAACATCCAGATAGTCATCATGGAAATGTCAGAACTTTGTTGAACTTTCTTTTCCTTATTTTACAGTTTAGACTACCTTTATGCTCAGTTACATAAGGTGTGTGGAGGGAGCCTCGCTCTGTTTATAGTGCATGGATGGCTTTGATTCCCCATCGCCAACACTGTCCGGAGAAGATGCTCAGATTCTGGCTCACACCCTCCCAGGGTGGCGGGGGTGACTGAGGCCCAGAGGGGCAGTGACTGTCCAGGGTGACAAGCAAGTATTAGTAGATACTACAGTCCAGCCCAGGCTTCTGTCCTGTCTCCCCGCTCTAGAATACCAGTGGGTGGGGACACTAACCCTGTCGTCACTCTTGGCTCTGCTCTGTGTCCCCTGTGGTCTCTGGAATGACTGGCGATCACTCCAGCACCTTTTTCGGACATGGCAATCCAGATGACACTTCTCCAGCCCCTTCAGAGGCCTAGGCGCCCCCCCACCGCTGGTGGACAGCAGAGAGCAAGATGAAGTGGGCTCGCGATGAGATTACCTAGCCCACAACTTGGCTACCTTATGGGAAGGATGTGGGAGCAGGGCCCCAGCAGCTCCAGTTTGGGTGGGAGAAGTGAAACTGTGACCCTTCTGCCCTAAGCTCAGGAGGTCCTACGACGGGTCAAAAAATTCTGGGGAGCTTTCTGGAGGAAGTGAAATTAGCCTGGAGTCGAGGATCTGAGGAAGTAAAAGAAGTGCTGGGAAGGATGGGAGGAAACCCTCAGACTGTGATGCCAAGCCCAGAACCCTGAATTCTGTGCTGGCTGGGCCTCCCTATGCTGTGGAGGGTCCAGGCCTGTTCCTGAGCTTCCCCTCTTCCCAGGCCACCCACTGTGGAGGTGTCCCATTCTCACCTGTGGGAGCCAATGAGATAACACGTGGCCTGAGGGAGGTTGTGAGTGAGAAACAGATACAGAGACACGCTGTCCCCACCCCTAGCCCCATCTCACTCTGCTACCCAGTGGCTCCTGTCCCCAGGTCAGCCTTCTCCCCTGACTCATTCTGTGACCACAGCCACTCACTTCTCCTCCCAGGGTCTGTCAAGAAGGGAACTCTATGTCAGCCTGCAAACCTTCCAGTGGTGAAAGCCAGGGTCCCGGGCTTGCTCTGCTGTCCTCCACCTGCAGGCGGAGGCCTGTGCGCTGCTGGACCCTGAGGGGGCGGGGGGCCATCAGACCCAGCTCTGCCTGGGGCAAAGCCCAGACCTGTGTGCAGGTGTGTGGTAGAGAACCTTGGTCGTTGGGGGTGGGGGACTGTAGTGTCCGCGGTGGCCCTGAGGACGGGGGAGATTTTTAGCAGTACAAACTGGGGGTGGGGGGCTTTCTGTGCAGGACAAGCAGGACAAAGATACGGGGTGTGAGGAGTCTGTTTAGGAAAATGCAGGCTGAGGTCTGAGCGGGAGCAGAAAGCGGTCCACTCTGACATTCATCGCCTGTCCCCTGCAATCAGGACATGGTAGACATCTGGGGGCCAAGGGGCCGTGCCTGTCCTGGGGCCTGTGTGGAACAAGAAAACAGGCCACGTGCGCATGCACACCGTACCCCTACGGGGAAAGCCCCTTGGGGATGCTGTCAGGTCTCAAACATGGGGGAGGGAAAGGGCGTTATAGGCAGAGGTAAAATGTCAGAGACGCGCAGTGTTTGTGGGCAAGCCAGGTGGGGGTGCGAGCTGCGTGGGAACCCAGAGTCTCCCACCTTCCCTGGGGGGTTGTCTTGTGGGGTGCGATGGGGTGGGGGGCATGCGGCTGCCAAGCTGGCGGAGTCCCAAGTGCCGCGCTGAGGGAGCTCGGACCTCACCCTGAGGACCGTGGGAAGCCACAGCAGCGCTGCGTGGGGTGGTGACAGGGGACTCGCGTGTCGTGTGGAGGATGGAGTCCTGGAGAGAAGGGAGGCAGAGAGGCCAGCCGGCAAGGGCGGTGCTGCCGCGCCCGGGCCAGGGGTGCTGGGGCAGGTGAGCGTGCGCGGGGGAGGCACTCATCAGAAACACTTAGGAGGAAAATCAGAAAATCTGTGAGTGCTTGGCACAGTGTCAGCACGCGGGCCATGGTGGTCAGGGGGACTGTGAAGGTGAGAGGGTCTCAGGGCTCGGCTGCCTGGGTTTTGGTGCCGAGACGCTGAGGCTCCTGTGGGAAAGACCAAGGTGGGTGGGCCACGGGGTGAGCCACTCCGCCTGCCGTCTGACACGTCTGAGGCATGACCTCCCCCAAGACCTGGCTGGGTGTCTGGAGTGGGCGTCGTCAAGACACCCGGGTCTGGTCCCATGTCGGCAGCCAGCGCCTGGGCTTCGTTTGCTGAAGCAGAAACTGGTTAATGCGAATTTGAAATGCCCAGTGTGACGGGAGAGGGCTGGTGCTGAGGTGGCAGGCGGCGGTGGCTGACAGGATGGAGAGGGTCTTTTTGTGACTCAGCGCGGAGGGTAGCAGCCCTGTGGGAAATGTGGTGACGCGCCGGCTCAGCCGGGCTGTCGTATCTGACAGCCTGCGCGGGGCGCTTGAGATGGAGGGCGAGGCCGCAGAAGGAACGTGACAAGCGCTGTCTTGCGGTTATAACACTGAAACGTCAGCACCCACGCACGGAGCCCCTAGCTCAGTGTCAGACGCCAAGCCAGGCGCTGCCCCATTTAATCTGCACCGCCTCATACCACAGTTGGGGAAACTGAGGTGAGGCGACAAGCCCAAGGTCCTGCAGTGACTCCGTGGCAAAGTGAGGATTATTTGAACTCAGGACTGTCTCCCTCTGGGACTGATGCTAATTTTTGAGTCTCTGGGAAGGGAAGGGAAAGGGCTGCCTGACGTAAAGACGACTCGAGCAGAGGTTAATGTCAGGGGCTTGGAGGGCGGTACAGGCTCAACCCGGAGACCCCAGGCAGACCCCAGGCACGGAGGGGTGGCGGCTGGTGCCCCGGGGGAGCTCAGCATATACAGCGATGCGCTCTGCACAGGTGCCTGCTGACCTACTTACCAGCCCTCTAACCAGGGCTCACGCCAACTCAGCAAGCTGTGAGGACTACTCGGAGCCGTGCCCTGCGTCTGGGGGCTATTTGTGACCCTGCTCTCTGATTGCCAATCCCTCAAGCTTTTAATAAGGCTTTGGAATTGAGCAGAGCTGGGCACCAGCCACAAATAATTAATATACCCACGGACCACATGCCAATCCTTGGACCTCCCCAGCCTCAGCCCCTAGCACGGTGCCTGGGAGGCAGCAGGTGCTCTGAAAGGCAGCTGTGATTGTCTCTCTGCTCCCCTTTCCCACCCCTCAGGGCTCTTGTACCAAGGAGCTGAACAAAGGGAAAATGGGGTTGGGATGTGGTAGAGTAGGGAGCAAGGACATGGCCCATTCTGACATTTCCAGGACGCATGGTCTGGGCCTGGCCCTGGGCTGAGCTGGGTTTTGCAGTGGTGGGGGTGGGGGCTGTCTGGATGACTCAGAGCAGATGACAGTTTGGGGGAGACAGATTTAATCACAGATCGCCCTCACCCAGACAGGATTTAGTCAGAGCCAGACAGAGACACCACAGAATGAGGGGGCTCGGAGAGCTGTGGGTTACTGTGGCTGGGGATCTGGGTTGGCTCCTGGGGCAGGGTCTGAGCAGGGCCCCGAGGGTGGGCAGCGGCGGGGAGGGGCGGGGAAGGCACGCTGGCACGGCACCGCTTGTGCAAAGGCCCAGAGGTGGAGAGCATGCTGGTGGCGTTCAGGGAGCAAGGTGCAGAGGAGCTGGGCAACGCTGGGAGCAGACCTGGCAGAGGGGGCATCGGGCCAGGCAGGGGCTGCCGTGGAGGCCCAGACGAGGCCACTGGACTATCTCAGGGGTTTCATGTCACGTCTGAGTCATGCAGGGAGTAAGAAGTTCTCTCCCATTAGTGGGCCAGCGTTCACTCTTACCCAGCCTGGCCGGTCAGGAAACACAGGGCTCGGTGTGAAATGGGCCACGGAGCCTCCGTCCAGATTCCCCGCAGACAG